GCTGGCTGCTGGCTACACACGGTAGCCCATGGCAACCCACTGCAGCAGGGGCTGCAGCCTACGCCATCGACTGCAACTCAGAGCAGCCCAGCTCCAGGTTGAGCTATAGAGGGCAGTGTCACGGACCCTCATTTGTGGGATCTGAGCCAGGGTTCTCTGGAGTCCCAAGCCAGCTCTTAACCAATGCGCCACTCGGCTGGCCCTGTAGTTTTCAGATAAAAGGGTCTATAAGTCTCTATTAAGTTAATCATCTAATGTGACATTCAAGGCCGGCCCTGCTTGCAACTGTTTAAACAACTAACAACATCTCTTAGCCCATGGACCATAGTTTGCCAATTTCAAAGAAAGAACAGTAAGTTTGGGGGAGGTGGCTGGTAGGACTTTTCCTATCAGATTTGAAAATTTCTTATAGTACTCTCAGAGTTTGTGATACTGACATAGGCATACAACACAGATAAACAGAACAAAACAGAGAGCCCCAAATACTTTAATATGTATATAAAAAACCAGTATTGACAGAGATGGCAGTATAGTCATTGAAGGAGGAATGAACTGTCCAATAAGTGGGGTGGGGACAATTGCTTATTAGATTTTCCATCTCTCACACTAACCAAAAGTAAATTGTGAGTGGATTTGAAGACAGAATAAAATGCAGAACTTGAAAATGCTATTAGGGGAATGTAAAAAAATATCTTTATTACCTTGGAATATAGAGGATTTCTTCAAATACAAAAAGCACAAAGCAAAAAGAAAAAATGATAATTGTGATTATACTATATATATATAAAAATCTTTTTTTTCACTATAAGAATCCATCAATAAAGTTTATAGACTAACAATTGACTGGGAGAAGATATTTTCAAGACACATCAATGAGAAAAAGACAAATATCTCAGAAGAAAAAAATAGCAAAGCAAATGAACAAATTACAGAAGTAGAAACCCAAATAGCCTATAAACGTATGAAAAGGTGCTGAACTTCACAAGCAATCAGGGAAATAAAAATTAAAGAAACTGTAAAATATAATTTCATACCTAACAGTTCAGCCAACATTTTAATCTCACAATACTAAGTCCTGAGAAGAATGTGGATAAATGAGGACAAGACTGCTTGTGGAAGTCAAACAGACAAACAAAGCCCCAACCCCTATTATTCTAGTCCCCTGAAAGGGCCGTTCTAGCTTTCTCTTGGGAAACACAACTGGAAGGAAATGCAGAGTTGTTCTGTAGACATCCTTGCTCTTTGCCCTTGTTCTTTTTTCTTGTGTTTCCACCTCTGGGTACGAAAGAGAAAGAACTGATTCTCTTTCCCCGTTTGCTCTCCTACAGGTCTGACTACCTTGCCATCCCATCAGAGAACAAAGAGAACTCTGTGGTGCCGGTAGAGGAATAGAAGGGGTGTGACTCGAGGTGATGTGTAGGGAAGGGGGAGGGAAAGGTGGGTAAGGATGGCAGGTTGTACAAGTGACTTTGTCGCCCACAACCGAAGTGACTTTAAATTTAGTCCCTGGATTAATTTCTGCCCTACCTAATTTCCCACCCTCAGGATAGTTCTTTAAGTTGAAGTCCCAAGTCACAAAGCTCTGTGTGATGTCAAGCCCTTCAGAAAGTGACTTGCTTTGGCTTGAGTGTTGGGGCAACTTGAACTCCACACCCATAGTGACAAAGGCATAGTAATTCTCCCACCTCCTTTTGAAGGATCATGGATTTGGTCAGAGTTTTTGGCTGGACTGGAAATTCTTAGTGGTTTGTTTTATCGTTGGTAGGTGGCCTGAACACTGAGGGACTCAATGTCCCAAGTTCAGTGATGTCAACAGCATCAGGAGAGTGCCTCAGAGGCCACATCACTTCCCTTCATGCATCCATTCTTCAATTTATTCATCATACATCCCCTCACCTGACTTCCTGATTCCGTCAGACCTCTACATACCATAAGACTTAGCCAGTACTGAGGAGCCAACATTTCTACACAGATTCAATCTCACCCTGTCCTAGCTTTCAAGCAAGCAGCTCCCATGCCAACTGGACTTCTCTCCTGTGTTACAAGTGACTTTGAACAAGTGCTGGGGATGGGCACATCGCTCTGCTCCTTACTAGCTGGAACTGGCTCATTCTCCATTGCTGCAAGTGGATGGATGTCTTCATGGAAAGAAGCAGGAGTGATTAGTGTGAGTTAAAGTAAGAGTGCCGTGAAGTTGGATTTTTTTGAAGTCAGTTTTTCCAAGTTCTTGGCCCACTTGACTAGAGCATTAGAGCAAAGCATGCTTTTCTAGGTTCTCTAGTAATAAAAGTTCATTCAGCATGGACTAAAATGTTCTCTGGAGCTAGATCCTGTTAGGACTCTAAGGCCTAGATTAGTCTCAGTCCTTTAAGAAGCCAAGCACAGCAGACTTGGGAAGGACTGAACAATTTAAGTGGCTCTTAAAAGTCATACATGTTCATGATCCTACTGGGGTAAGGTATTTATGTCCCTGCCACCCCACCCCCTATCCCCAAGTGAACACACCACTCAAGACAGTTGTTTTCCTGCAGGCACTGGAACTGCAATTCCTGTTCTTCCTCTCAAAATTTTTGTGGATCAGTATTATTACTATGTTACAGGAGGCAACCGAAATTCAGACAAGTCTCAACTGACTTCAGGGGATAAACTGGAGCAGATATAAGCCTTAGGTGCTGCCTAGGTTAAACGTCCCAAGATGGATAATTTAGTTTTTGAAAACTTTGACATTGAGATTGGCTGTGGCCATGCCTCCTTCACAAGCACACATCGGGGTGGATTGCCTGGCTGAGGTTAACTCTGATTGATTCTGATAATGAGAAATTGGCTGGAAAGGCAGAGAAAGACATGAAGTAGACTTGAAGAACTTCCTTAGTGAAAGGATTTGTGAATCTGAAACATCCTCCAGAAGAATGCATCTGGGAATGACATTTAAGAAACATGCTCATTTGTCTGAGATGGATGAGGAAATGTGTGAAGTGATAGGGGAGGGAAGGGCTAGGTGGCTTCCAAATATTTCACCTGTGAACCCACAATGTCTGGAGTTTTCTTCTAGATTTTCAGAGAGCCGATGAACACTGGAAAAATCTTAGTCAAAATCTCATGTTTCATTTTAATTGAGTGATTGGTCCAAGTTTGATGTCCTTCAGTGATGAGAAGTGAGGAAGGTGCTTTACAGATTTTGAGATGAAAGTGACTGAGATTTGATGAACGAGATGTCCCTCAGATCTTGGGGAATTTATGGGGAAAGATCATACTCTGTTGGCTTTGGGCCTCACCTGAAAAGCTCATTTTTTCATTTCTCCCATCCTTGGTTAAGTACTCGAAACAAGTCCTTATTCACGTATTCAAGAGTCCGATTTTATTAAAGAAAATAATTTCAATAAATTCAAGGCCCTTTTCATTGGTAATTTCCCACATAATCCCTCCAAAATTTGGGGCAGAATATAGATTTTTCTTACTTTATAGTTAGGAAAATAGGCCTGAATAATTAAGAAGTTTTTCCAGTCTCTTGGCTGGTTGATGACAGAGCTTGTAGCAGAAGAGAGCTACTTACTTCCATTCCACTTTCCTTTTGGTTCCAATAGGCATTGCATCTAACTTTTTTTTTTTTAAGATTTTATTGGGGGAATTGGGAAGGGGAACAGACAAGTTGTTCTTTTGGTTCTTCAGTCTAGTTGTGGAGGACATTACTTCACTGGCCCATGTTGGTATTATCATCGCGTTCTTCCCGGGTGAGGCAGTCGCTCACCGGCCATTGGACGGCTGCTCCCGGTGGCTCTTGGCAGCTCACAAAAACTCATGCCGGCTGCCTGCCAGCCTCACTGCAGCCTACACTGTCGCCAGCCACTCACGGCAGCCCAGCTCCAGGCCGAGCTGTTGTTTACCATCTTAGTGGTAGAGGGCACAGTGTCACTGGCTCTGTGGGATCCGAACCGGGGCCCGGCTGCCCTGAGCTGGTGTCCCAAGCCAACTCCTAACCAACGTGTCACTCGGCAGGCCCTGCATCTAACTTTTAATCAAATAATATGCATGACTGCTTTTTTCTTTAAAACAAACAAAAAAACCCCCTCAGATGTTTCCTGATTTTTAATGTAGCTAAAATTGTATCTATTGTTTTCTTATTTATCCTTCATAAGTCTTCTAGCATCTCAACTCTTCTCATCATTAATACTTTCATAAGAGCTATGTGGTTTACAAAGCATTTTCATTTCAATTATCTTATTCTTCACACTAGCCCTGCAAGGTAGATTATTACTAATCTTCACATTATAAATGAAGGAACTGAGGCCGTGTGAGGCTAAGTAGATTTATCATACCCCAAGTTCATATAGTTGGTAAATGGAGAGCCAGAATCCAGGTCTTCTGACTCCTAGCCCCGTTCTTTCCACCTAGATCATTGTTGCTTCCTTTCCTCGTTTTTTAACTTCCATTTAGTCTTTGCTTCTCCGGCTTGTCCTGAGATATTCAACCTCTTCTCTCACCCATAATCCCATTTGAATGGTCCTCTACCGCTTTGCTTCTTGGCAGATGCTAGAAATGTGCTTTGAAAGTCCATCTCATTTTGGTTTTCCCTTTCTAGTTGGTTTGCACATCATTATTTCTCCTGAATTGCAATTAAAGTCCTTTCCTGGGAGACTTGATCATGACTATAAATCTACGAGGTACTCTTGATCACCAGCCTACTTCAGATCCTCACCCACTCCGTTTCTCCCCATACTCCTACAAAGGACCCAGACTACACGTGCATTGCTCTGGAAGCTTTCTCTGGCATGCTGTTCTTATTAAAGGGCTTAGCAATGTTCTCAAGGGCTATTATCACTTTAGGAATCCCATCTGTTGCCTCGGTGCTGGATATTTCCCATGACTGATCCTCAACAACACAATTCACTAAAGGCCAAGCTAGGCTGGATCTGATTTTCCCTTTCCTGCTGCTGAACAGCCATGAATTTGATTGCTCTACTCAGTTGGCCCGTAAGCACCTTGCTCTACTGACCTTTACTATTAGCTCACCTTGTCCACAGCTCCAACTCCTGTGTGGAAATGCCTGGATAGTTAGTGCCTGTCCCTACCCCAACCTTTATTTTCAGTCTGTTTAAAAGCATTATCCTTTAGTTTTTCCATCCCCAAACATCCACACACCCAGATTTCTGATCCTCTGTTTCTGATTTCTCCTTACAAGCCAAACTAGAAATGCTACTAGGGAAGGAATTTTTCAAAGCAGAAATATGCTGGAAATATGCATAGAGCAATGAATGGAGAAGAGACAGTAGCCCTCCCCCAAAACTGCTAGATCAAGAAGGGAAATACAGCCACCTCAGTTTGTGAAACCACCTGACATAAATCAGAGGGAAAAAGCTTTGTAATTGCATCTTTGCCGGAAGAAGCAAGAGTTAGACACATTTCAGAGAGTCTACCTTGGTTCCCTTTTATAAAGTTAACAGAAATGAAAGGGGGGAAAAAAGCCTTCCTCTCACCTTTTGTAAATGAAAAATCCCTAACGCAGTGAATTCATCCAGTCACTGCAAACATGTCTGAATTGTATTTGGTGTGTGCATTACTCTGATCATCCATTCATTCTCCATTTCAGCACCCACTGCATCAAGCACCAGTCCAGACCTCAGTGTGCCCCGTGGTCTCAGGTCTGAAAAATATCTTCATCCAAGCCTTTCTTAATCTCTAAAACTCTACCGTGGTAGATAGCTGATGTTTAGTTTCCCCCCCTTGAGTTTATAGTAGGATCCAATAGATAAGCACTTTGAGCAAGTCTGAGTTATAGACCAGACTCAACCTCTATCACAGGCCAGCTAAGCCTCAAAGCCAGTAATACTCGATCATTTCTCCCTGAGTCACCATTTGGCAAGAGCTGTACTGTTTGTTGGGCAGCGTGTAATGGAGGGGGAGGTGACTGAAGAACAAGTGCTTGTAGGTTTGTGAAACACTGTCAAACACTATTAGCCAACTCTTAGTACTATAACTGATAGAACGCTTTATCACATTGTCACCTTCACATTACTTTCTAAAAAAATTTTCCACAGCCAATATTTTTCTGAACTCTACAAATGTTGTTCCTGACCACCCAAGCTCTCGACAACTTAATGACTGTATGTAGTGTTTTTCAGTAAACTCACCGTTCATGTCAAAAAAATGTCTCTCAACACTGCCTGCTCTGGTTTTACTCTATTACATACTGTGTGTCTGCTAAGTATACTATGGCTTCTACCTACCTCTCCAACCTGCATCAGTTCAACGATCAGTGGACATATGTCCAGGGAATAAATGATACATTTAGTAGTCTAGAATTGAACATGATAAAGGTGTGAGCTAGCCTCTCCTTTCCCCCTTTCTTCCCTACCCAAATACAAAGGAATGCAAGTCACTTGTGTTTTTACCTGCCTGACACTAAATAAGTGTCCTAGTATGTGGCAAAGGGCTAACTGCAAGGAGGACCTAATGAAGGGAGGGACCACACCCCCTTACCGGTTCAGGGAACATAAGGCGATAAAGCAAAGCTGTCTCTCATCTTCCTGGGAGTGCCAAGGCCCCAAAAGGGAAATGTTCAACAAGAAATTGTCTCCAGGATTCAGTACACCATACTCTTCTATAATAGCAAAAGTATTGACTAATAATAATACGGTACCAGCTACTATACTAAGAAACACACACACACACACACACACACACACACTTTATTTTACCAATAAAAACTGAGACTTGAAGTGATGGATGGGGTGCAAGGTCACACAGCTGATAAACAGTGATGATGCAATTTGTACTCGGGTCTGATTCCAAAACTTCTTACCCACTCCACTTTATCAGGCTGCCTCCCTACCCTGGGAAGTCCTAGATGTTGGCTTTGCATGTGTATGAGTGTGCCTACACATAAATGCTTTCAGGACTTGCTGTGATCACATCTGGGAAGACCAAAAACACTTGGGACAATGAGCACTAATGAATCAAGCAATAACCACATATACACCATTATTTGTAGTTCAATACTTTTTTCTTTTAATTCATACTGTACTTCCATGGCTCTAGCTACTTTACATTAAGATTTGGCTGGGAAGCCTTGTATGTTTTCTAGGTACTAGCAGTAAGTTTTCAGACCTTGCGCACAGCGCCAGGCAAAGTACAGTTATAGATCCAAGTACAGATGGCCAGACAACTCAACTGCAATCAACCTGTGTTCTTTCCCAGATATGGCCCAGTGCAGGTGTTGGGGGCTGCTCCCTCTGCCTCACCCCACTCCACCCATGTCAGGATTATCCAGAGGCCACTATGGCCTCTGGCCCATCCCTCCCCACCTTGGAGTCTAGGTTGAGTGGGGGGAGAGGGGAAGCACCATGGGTTTGGGAAGATGATCTGGTCCATGCAGAGAGTGGTCTGGCCCTAGAGTGCAGAATAGGAAAATGTAGGGAGCCACAAACTATTGTTGGCAAAAATGGTTGCTTTTACTATGCAGTCTCAGCTTGTGGCACCCAAGCCCAGGGCCAACTCCCCAGACACAGCCAGCTGTCTTGCCTGGAGCAGAGGCCACCATTTTGTTTCTGCAGTGTCATTGTGTTGAGAGAAGCAAGGAGGGCCAAGGGGCAGAGATGACAACGTTCTTTATGCCTTCACGTATCGGGTAGATCATCCGCCATCAGCTCCTCTTAGCAGGCAAGGTGCTTCTCGCCAGCAACCAAGGCTCCAATCCGGGCTCCCAGGCCTGCTGAGGACCTCAAGTCACAACAGAAAACAATGCCCAAGTCCCCTGAGCTGTCACACAGAACACCAAAACAGGGAGTTGGCCAGAGCAAGAGTGAGGTAACAAAGCTGGGCAGAGAGGTGGGAAGGGGAGCTCTCTACACCGTGTGCAAATTCCTGCTCCACATCAGGAAAGCAGGGGCGTTCAAAGATGGCCTTCCAGAAAAACGTTCCTCTCAGACCCAAAATGCATCTTCTGGAAGAAAACATAGAGGTGGAGGAGAGTGGGACTAGTCTGCTGCAGGTTGGGGAATTGGGGTAGAGGATGTCAAGTGGTAGATGGGACGACTGTCCCACAGCCTAGAGACAAGGGATGCGGGAGGGGAGAGTTGGGAAGACAGGTTCTCAAGTTTTGTACTGTAGTGGGCAGGCAGAGTCAGGGGGTGTGGGGAGAGACACCCACAGCCCTGCCACCTCGAGGAAGAGTGAAGAGTGTTATTTCTCGGGGTGGGTTTGGGGGCAGGGAAGAAGGGTTGGCTTTGGCTGCCCTGCAGCATAGTAAGGCACAGGAAGAATCCTTCTGAGACTACAACAGTCCAGAAAGATTCTTCCTCTAGTCCTTTCTCCAGGATTTCACCCTAGAGATGTTGCCGGTGAATGTATTGGACATGGTGCACGCCTGGGTTGGGGACAGGACATAGATAGAATCCACTTCTATCAAAGCATTCCTCTTGAGGTTTCTTGGTCCTCCCCACTACCTGTAATCCCAGGTTTGTAATGTCAGCGCTCTAAGGCAACCCAAAGATTTCAGCCAAAGCTTCACACTTAATCCAAACTTCAACAAGGTTTGAGTTGAGCCAAAAGAGAAGTGCTAGAACCCGGAATGACTTCTCTCCACTGTTTTTTTCTAGCAAGGAGGAGGAAGGATGGGCAGATGAAAGGCTTCATAGCCTAGGGATGGAAAATGGGCTCTATCCAAGATGGTGCCTTCTTGCCATTTACCTCTTTCTCCTAGTTTAGAGAAAGTCCAAAGGAAGGTCCCTTCCCAAACTAAGACTAGGCCAACAAAGGAAAAAAACACCATCTTAGCAATTCTGCAAGCCTAATCTCTCTCCCTCCCCCCACCACATATCTACTTCCCTCTCTCCCCCTCCTCTCCCTTTCACTGGGTCTCCCTAACCTCCTAGCCAATAAAAAAAAGAAAGTTTAACTACCCTGAATTTTCTGGGAAATCAGATACTACCAGGGGAGGTCTAGCCCAGAAGGGAAACTTCCAAGTCTAAGAAAGCCCAGCCTTGTCAGTCTCTGATACAGCCTCCAAGACTATGCCAAAGCTAGAGCCTACCCTAGTGACAGGCTAAGAGACGGGGAGTGACATGTCCAAGAGCAGTGCTCGGACTCAGGCCAGGCCTCCTCATTCTCAGCCCAGTGCTCTCACAGAGAGCTTCAAGTTGCTAATCTTGCTGGCCGAGGACGTTTTCCCCTTGTCCTAGGGAGGTGGATGGGGGAAAGAGGAAAGGTGCAGATAGGACTGGCTTCTCCAAGGCCAATATTGTTAACTCCTCCATAGAAGGTGGTGTGGAAGTGTAGACCCTATAGCTGTTCTTCACCTGGTTAGAAACTTTGCAAAATCTTTGAAATTGAGTACAAGCTCTCAAATGTTTTACCAGATGAATTCTCACAGAAAGACTCCTATGTGACTCAAGTTCTTAAATGAACAAACACAAAAAAAGCACTGGCTGGAAGAAATAACGTAAGAGGTGATGGTTTTGATGTTCCCTTGCAGACAGCTACAAGCCAGGCTACTGGCCATGAGTTACAATGGTATTTATGTGTTTCATTCCCAAACTTATCTGCAAGTGTGAGTGCCCTTCCTTTTGACAGGTTACTGAATAAGGGTGAAAAGCTTTGTTTTGGAGTGAATAAAGTTGGTTTTCTCCTGATTTGAAAAAAAAAAAAAATTAGAACAGAGAACACCCATAAGAGTTCCACGATCCCTAGCAATGAGGCAATGGAACGTATTGTCTCCTGGGTTCAAATCCCCAGAAATCATGAGGGTTCTTTGGACAAAATAAGTACTTCCTTCCCTGTTGCCTATTCCTCCCTGGAATGGGCCTGAGAGGTAAAACAGAAGCAGAACAACTATTTAGCCAGGTCTACTTATATCACTTTACTCCCAGCAAAGCACCCTTTTTAAGTCATCCCAAAGATCCCAACATGGGACCGTTAATAACTGCATAATTAAAATAAATATGAATGGAATAAATTAGAGGATTTACCATTTTTGCTTTCAAAACCTTCTGGGAATAATTTTGACTTCTGGCTTCTCCAATAGGGAAATTTCTAGCAGTCTGCACTGTTCCTCCTTTGGCTCAGAGCCTACGAGCCTTGAACCTCACTAGGCTCTCCCATTCAAAGTCCTGGACAAGAGTGAGTAGTGACTCACTGGCCTGTGAGCATACACACCTTCCACAAAGATTATATTCAACTCCTTTCCTAGGGGAGGAATATAAATTCTAGCTGATCCCATGAAGCCTTCTCATGCTACTCCCCTGGGGGGGGGGGGACCTGGTCATGTATCTTTTTGTCTTCTCATCCTGCCCGTAGGGCAAATAATAAGGTTATATTCTCAGACTATAATCTCAGATTAACCAAAAAGTCAAAAACTTTTCATTGCCAAAGTGGGATGCTCAGGCCATTCCAAGAGAAGAAGACACATTGCTCTTCTCTTGGGCTAGATCAGTGATTCAATCTTCCTTTCCTTCTGCCCCTTGCATGAAGAGGCTCACTAGAAGAACAAGAGATCTGGAGGAGCTGTCCTTGCCAAATTGGTATGATCCTTTCCTGATCAAGAATCTCTTCAAGCTCTACCTGGGGCTGGCAGGATTCCCTTGGTTATTAGATGGAGAAATACAATAGTAGCTAGTGTATGAAAGGTAATAAGCGTGCCCAGGAGGGTCCCACGAAGGAAGATAAATGTATGGGTCCTAAGGACCCATAGCCCTTTTTGGCCCTGGATGACTCACTCTCCTATCCTAAAGTCTTCTCTCTATTCCTTAGTGATCTCATACCTGTCTGGGGTCAACAAGTAGAGAAGGCTTTGCTCCCTCTGCCAGAGTTCCCCATCCCATGTCTGAGAAACTGAGGATTTAGAATGGCCCCCATGGGCCAGACTCCACCTGGCTTTTTCGTGCCCAGATGCAATGCACCTTTGCCGAATCCTTTCCCTCCAAGGGCTTGGGTCTTCTTCCACGTGCCAAGTGTCTCAGACAGTTATCTCCCTTGACTAAAGTTGGTTCTTCACTGAGAGTAAATGAGGCCGGAAGCCAAATGAGTGCTTGGATATTGGTGCGCACTATACACACAGCATTCTGTGGTTAGACCCTACAATCCCACCTTGTTAGGGTATTTGCGCTCTCAAACGCTGGAGGTCCTACAACACCCTGATTCATCCTGGAAACCAAACTGACAACTCAAAGTGAAGGAATTAGAGCCATAGACTGGACATGCTTATAACCACTAAAAGAGGTTTAACAAGATCGAAAATGCTCCCCCCTGGCTAATAAACGATGTGCTCTTAGGGCACAGAGAAAAAGGAGCTTTAGGCACTAAAAAAATGACACTTCACCCAGATCCAGCCTGGGAGAAGACCAGAGAGAAGAGGGGGTGGGGAAGTAAGAAATTCCCATCTGACATAGGTTAGATGAAGGTGCAGGGGGTGAGCGAGGAGAATACCTTCAAAACACAAGTCCTTAGCAGCCTGCAGCTACAAGGCCCAAACCCACAAGTGCAGCCTTGCTAGCTTTCCAGCAATCATCTCCACCAGCCTCTTTCTTGGTCTATGGTCCATATAAACGGGGTGGCCTAATACAGTAGAGTTTAGATTGGGCTCCTGCCCTTGATGCTTCCTTGTTCCCAAGAGAACACCTGGGGAAGCGTGGGGTAGGGAAGAAAAGGTTTTATTTTGGGAACAAATCAAATGTGGATTAGGAAATGAAGCACCTTAAGCAATGCCCCCTTGAGACTTCTTTTCAAGACCCCAGGGTCTTCACAGGCATGACTTTGGCTCAACAACATTTCCCTTCTCAGAGCCAAGAATGGCCAGCAAGGGAAAGGGTGGGGACTAGAGGATGGGGAGGAGGAGGATCAGGGGAGGTCGGTGCTGAGAGATGGTCCCTGCCCTCCTCGGCCCCTCCACCGGCCAGCACAGGAGGCAGTTCTGCTCCTTCTCCCTGGTACATAGGCATTATCTCTATTTAAAATCTGTATATAATATATATATACATATATTTATAATATATATATATATGTGTGTGTGTGTGTGTGTATGTGTGTGTGTGTATACACACACACACACACACACACATATATGGTCTATGTACATGTATTGCACAGGCCTCTTGCAGCGACCCCTGTTCCTGCCTTGTCAATGATAGCGGTTCCTCTTCTCTTCATTTTCTGATGTGTAGTCACGGGACCTGATGCCATTCTGAAGATTGATGAGTGAGTCCTTCATCTGTAAGACAGGAAACCCCATCCCAGCCCGGGTTTGTGCCCTCAGTGGGTTTCTCCATATAGCAGCATCTTCCACACCTGCCTATGGCAGGGCCCCTACCACGCCAGGGAGCTAAAGAGAGCTGGCTCCTAAAACAAGCGTGATTCTCAAGGGACACAGTCTCAGGCAAAGGGGACAGCCAGTCAAGCATTGGGGACCCCTACGGTGCAATTCGCTATGTCTTAAAGATTTGTGGCCCTTGTGTCATTGGATTGAGAATTCTCTCAAAGCATTCAGCTGCTATAAGGAGCCACATTAGACTGCCACTTACTTGGTCTTGACTCACTCCATCTGGTTTCCCCACTGATCCTGACTGTACTGTACTCCTATCTTTGTACATTTTGCCAGTGTTCCCCCAGCCTGTTCCAATCCCACCCATGTGTTAAGGCCAGAACAAATCGAAACTTTCTCTGGCTCACAATCGTCTTTCTTTTTCCTGGCCTTTCATACACCACTCACTAAAACTCTGGGCTGCAGTCATCTTAAATTGCTTTGTTTCATGTGTTGGGACTGCAATGTGTCTTATCCTCATATACCCCGGGTCCCAAGCAGAGCTGAGTAGGCTTCTAGTTATATGTATATCACTGACTTAACCTTAATTGAATTTCTTAACCAACTTTAAGAAACAAACACATTAAGATTGTTAGGTCATAGGATAGAGCGTAACTAGGGCAATTCCAGTGGTAGAATTCTAAAATGGCCCATCATACCACAATACACTTAAATAAGCTGCTTTGTTACTACACAATAGAGTTAACATTTCATGGGTAAATGGTTATAGATTTTGAGAACCCTGGTTTCTCTGCTTAATGGATCACTTTCGTTTCTGGTTCTTCTATATCCTCTGCTCAGTAGGGATAAGGGGCCCATTACTGTTCTTTTGTAAGCTATTGGGTTGTCAGAAAAGTCATGACGCATGTTTGTGACAGATGGCACTAGTTCATTTTTGGAAGTACTAGAGTCATTCGCATCTATGTTATTGCTATGTCATTTGACAGTTGATAGTTCTAGCTTCATTCTAAAAAAAAATTGAGTGATTTGGTTGAGTTTTGGAGATTTTACAACAAGTTGAAGATGGAAGACCAAACTGTGAATTTTTGCCATATTTTACTTCCATAAAGGGAAGAATGCACGTCAAGCTTGTGAAAAGTTGCATGAAGTTTACGGTGACAATGCTCTACAAGAACGTCAGTGACAGCGATGGTTCACGAAATTACATGCTGGTGATTTTTATTTCAATGACGCTCCTTGGTCAGGGAGGACCACCGAGGTTGATGACAACAAAATAAAGGCATTGATCGAGTCAAACCCGTGTTACATGACACGAGAGATTGCAGAAACATTGAATATCCATCATTCAAGCGTTCACGACCACCTGAAGAAGATGGGATACGTAAGCAAGCTCGATATTTGGGTTCCGCATGAACTCAAAGAAGTTCATTTGATGGCGCCTATAAACATCCGCAATATGCTCATTAAACTTGAGGAAAACAATCCTTTTTTGAAGCGACTGATAACTGGTGATGAGAAGTGGATTGTTTACAACAATGTGGTGCGCAAATGGTCTTAATCCCGACGTGATGATTCGCCTCAAACGACATTGAAAGCAGACATTCATCAGAGGAAGGTTATGCTCTCAGTGTGCTGGGATTTTAAAGGTGTCATGTTTTCCAAGTTCCTACCAAGGAACCAAACAATCAATTCGAATGTGTACTGTTGACAATTGGACAGTTTGAACAAATCCTTCATTCAGAAACGTCCAGAGCTTGTTAATTATAAAGGAGTTAAGTTCCATCGTGACAATGCGAGACCACACATAAGTTTGATCACCCGTGAAAAATGACTGGAGCTTGGATGGGATGTGTTGCCACACCCACCACACTCTCCTGACCTTGCTCCGGCAGACTTCCACTTGTTTCGCTCTCTTCAAAACTCCTTACGTGGTATAACGTTCAATTCAGATGAGGCTGTAAATCAGCACCTTGTTCAGTTTTTCACAAATAAAGACAGGTCCTTCTATGAATGAGGAATTATGAAGCTCACTGAAAGATGGCAAAAGGTTATCGAACAAAACGGGCAATATATCATTGATTGATCTTTGTTCTTTATATAAATAAATGACCTTGAAAAACATAGACAAAATACGTGATGACTTTTCCAACAACCCAATATTTTTAAAGGGAATGCAACAAAACACCTATCTTAACACTTGTAGAGTCCACCACCATGCTATAAATCTGACAGCCCCAAGCTCCAACTTAAGGGTATCCACCCTGAAATAGAATTCTGTAGTTGGAAGAGAACGGGGTCATCCAGTTCAATTGCCCTCCCATTTAATCCACAAGTTCCTTATCCAACATCACCTCAACACCCCTTGAGTACTTCAGGGATGGGATCTCAGTCCTTTGGAATAGCCATTCTATTGCTCGGTAGCTCTCACTATAAGTAGTCTGTTTTTATTTGATGACTCAAAATTCTAATTCCCTATAACGTCTAGCCCTAGTTCAGTACTCTGGAATTTTACAAGCAGTCTAACCTGTTGGGCCCCTGTCTGAAGACTATCCTGTTTTCCTCACCCCAGTCTTCCCGCCTCCTGAGCATATCTTTAATTCTATCAACCCTTCTTCATATGACAGGGATTCCAAACTCCTCACTATGCTGTTTACCCTCTTTTGGTTAAAAATAGCCCTTAAACGTGGCTCCAAAACTAAACATGATACTCTAAACACATTACACTGAATCCTGGCAGCAGCATTAAAAAACGCTCTCTCCTTCATTTAGAGCTAAGACCAAATTATGAAGGGGAAATAAAATTTAATATTAATGAGTGCTTCCCAAGTGCCATCAAATCCTGGCAGCAATTTCATGAAGCAATGATCTTAATTCCCATTTTATAAGTGAAGAAACTGAAGATCATTACTATTAAATCCTTTGTTTGAGGTTACAAAACTAGTTAGTGGCAAGGTTAGGGTTCCATCTCAGATCTGGTTGACCACAAAACATTAGCAAGAAACCCCTTAGGAACAGCAATTTTAACATAACAAAACAAATCTTCCGTCTCCTAACTCTTCTTGCATAGCAAAGGTAGGTTCCACTATCTTGGCAACCCCATGCAGGAGATTTTCATAGATATGAAATTCTTCCAGGGGAAGAAAGAAGCTCCCTCCCCTGACAAAACTAAGCTAATTATTGATTTTGCCCTGGGAGGATTTTCTTAAATAGATGTATCTAATTTTTAGAAGGAATATAGGCAACTCTACTAGGAAGGAGGTATTATGAAAAGACATAGGACAGCCATTTCCCCAGACTGTCAGTGCAGCCTCTGGAGAAGGGCCCCATATTGGAGGCTCTGTGTTTGTGTGAATGTTTTGAAAGTGGAGGAGGAGATGGCAAATATAAAAAAGAATTAGAGAGACATGCCTGCTGGGAAGACAGTTCTCTGTAAAAGGGGGTTATCTCTTCAAATGCCTGTCAGATGGCTATGGGTTACCACCACCACCAACAACAACAAAAAGTTCTCCTTCCATCTAAACTACAGCTTTCATGCTACAAATCCAGTGTGTTCTTTTATTATTTGGGGGACTATACCTGTGTTTCCAACAGCTCACTCAAGGATGGCTTTAAAATTAGAACCATGGATGGTTTAGGAGACGAATGAATGGGATGATGAGGTCCAACGGATCGTGATGGAGATGGCGATTTTTCTCAGAACACAGGGAAGAAGTTTCATCTCAAGAAGACTAGGGCAAGGAGAGCAAGTAGGGGCATCTCACCTGGTCAAGAAGCATCACTGAGGATTTGATGATCTCCCTCCATTTTTGGAGCTCCGTATCGTGGTACTTTTGTTGGGATTCTAAGAGCTGGGCCCATTCTGTCTGAGACTGGGGTAACCTGTGGGGTGGAAGAGGGGGTACCCCAGCAGCTGGAGTTATGCTCAGTGGGCTGTTCTGTGCTCCCAGACCCCTAAAGGACAGAGAGTCACATCAGAGTGCTTTGTCCTCTGCTCACTGCCCCTGTGCCCCAAATCAGAAGAGGACTAAAACTATATGGACAGTTTTTAGAGCTTGCTTATGGACCCATCCATCCTAAAGAGTCATTCCTTGGCCAAGAGCAGTGGGGCAGTTCCCAAGGAGACTGGGAGGCAGGAGACAGGGCACGGTACTCTATAGGGTAGAGGCGGTGGCGAGGGGAAGAGGTGAGCCTAGGATTACCTTTCTTGGAGCCTTAGACCCTGCCAGGCAGTGAGGGTCTGCGTGGTGTATTCCAGCATCCAGAGTTTGTAGAACAGCATCACATTAAGGAGGACCAGAAGCACCAGACTAGGAAGGAGACAAGGGGGAAAAACAACAGCAATGAGAGGTAACCAGAGAAAGCATGCTCCCTCTATGAGCCAGGAACACCCCCATCCCAGAGGCTGCTGTCCTTGACCAGTGGGTCACCTGAAGCATTGCCATGAGTGAGTAAGTGAGCAGAGGGATGCAGCAAGGGGGAGAAAGAGAGAGGAAGCACTCTAATCTGGTGGGGCCAGAACATGATAGGAAAGCCATGGAGAGGTGTGTGGGGTGGAGGCACTGGAAAGGAGAGACACACACACACAAGTCACCCAGAGTCTGGGTGCCTGGGGGGAGAGAGGTAAGATGGAGAGGAAAAGAGATGAGAGGGTAAAAGAAGCAATCATAGAATCAGTACCTGAAACAGATCCTAATGGGAGCAGGAAAGAAAACGGGGAGGAGGCAGAGGTTAGAAACAGACTTGTGTGGGGAAGGGGAAAGCTGTACCTAAATTGAGCCAGAGAGAGAGAATCTATGAGCAAGAAACAGTAGGAGCAGAGACACAACAGATGAGGACTCAGCAAGAAAGGAGCAAGGGAAAGCAACTGTGAACAGACTCTTAGGATGTCAAGGATGATAAAGCAAGGTAGGATGCCTCCACTATGCCAACTGTAGGACACAACTGAAGGGTGAGGCTGAGGGAGGAATTCAGTGGGATTCCCAGCTCTGCCCCTGGTGTGCCGTCCAGATGTTGGCAGAACTGCTCTAAAGCTGTGGACTTCTCACTCCTGCCACAGGCCCGCGGGAGTCACAAGGACCAGCTGGGGTTTCCAATAGAGGAGCCAGAACTGGTGGGAGACAAGCAGGGGGCAAGGACAATCCAGGGGTCAGAGGACCCAGCGGGAAAGGACAGTCACCATGAGACAGAAAATTCCCTTCTCCTCTTGGCCTCAGCGATTGTCTAAAGATAATTTTACGACAGAAGAGAGGAGGACTCCAGTAAAGAGAGGATCCAGAACTGACTACAAATCCTTACCACCTAAAAGTTTAACTTTTGGTCAAGTTCCCTGGTTTCTCCGAAACGCAGCTTGCTCAACAGGACAGTGATGCCTGGGGTCGTTACGTGGAGCAAAGGGATGTATGTAAAGCACCCTGCACACAGCAGGCTCTCCACGACAGGTGGTTATTTTCATTAGAGGAGGCACAGACACACGTAAGACAAAACATGACAAAATGGGAAGATAAAACAGATGGAGAAAGACCAACAGAGAAAATCTCATTTGTGCTTCCAACTGGCACCTGGAAATCCCTGAGGCTACTCAGCTGTGTTCTTCCCAAGAATTTCTAAGTTTTGTGTTGGGTTTCAATGATCCTGCCTATAATTCTATCAGCACACATGGGATCATCTGACTACACACCTCTTCAGTGTGAGCTGCACACCATCTGAGCACCCACGTCTGGCTTTGTGCTTATCATCGTGTCTGTGCGCAGTGAAGGTCAAGGGATCTCTGCATGCTTTTTGAGTGAAGGCCTGGCAGTGGTCTAAAGAGAGGACACAGGCGGAGGGCTGGGTGCTCATGGGCAGGTGGATGGTGGCTCGGGCCTGCTGGGCACAGGGCACCCACATGCACGCTGTCAGCAGACCCCCTGCCTGGACCCACTAGTGTTGAATGATGACGCTTGATTATCCTTAACTAACGAAGCCACAAATTTAGTTAATATCATGCTGTACAATTTCCTCAGGTAAGCAGGCTTTCTGTACTTCACGTCAACATGCAGAAAGAAGTTAAGCACAGAACTAATCCATGGTTAATTTTATATCTACCAAATCCAACATCAGAGATTTAGTTTTGACAACAGCATGCGTAACTTTAGAGTGACGATGCTAAATGTGAATTCTGCTGGTTTTTACTGGTCTCTGTATTTAATGCTGTAAAAAAAATCTTGGCTTCTCAAGCCATATTCAGAAGAATTTTAAGTCTAGTGTTTTGTTGCATATTCAAATAAGGTTAATAAGAGAGCCTTCCTCATGGGACTTGAGGTTTGTCCTCAGCCCCATTTTGTTTCTCACATTCTCTATCTCTTCTGGTGATCTCATTCATACTTTAATGCTACCAATAATTAAATCAGCAGCTGCAGCCTAAACGTCTCTCCTAAGCTTCAGATCCACATTAACAAATATCTATCTGCCACCTTCCCTTGGATACCTTATGGCAACTCAGGGACATCGGGAACTGCCTGCATCTTCTTTGACAACGTTTTGCTAACTTCCAGATTTCTGTTAATGACACTGCCATCTATCGACATGGGACTCAGTAAGTCACCATCCTTCACTGTGTAACCAGCAGTCACAAGTCTCTCAGCCCCAGTGCCTCACCTCAGTCTGCCAGACACCTCTGCCTTCATCACTGCCGTCTACTCCGACTGGCCTCCCTGCCTCCAGTCCTTCCTTGTTTAATTCATATATCATATTGCCATTGGAGTGATCTTTTCTTCAAATGCAAACCCAACCATGTCACTCCAGGGTTCCCTTCAGTGTTTCTTGAAGGTAGGGCCCTTGCTTCTGCCTCTCTGAAAATGCTTTAGTAAAGGCCTGGGCTGGTGGTGGGGCATCACAGAAGCAAGACTGAACTAGACATAGTCTAGTGCCTGATGAACAGCCAGTAGAATATGTATCTGGGCAGCTCCTGTGCCCCCTCCCACCTGTGCCTCCCATTCTCATAGCACACTCCCATCCAAGAAGGGCTGGGTATCAGGCGGTGAGCTGAACCCGGTGGAAAAGCTGTCTGCACGTACGGTCCTAGATGCTCCCTGCTCAAAATGGCTTTTGAAAGTCCTAAGCAGGGGCTGTGGTCTTAGACATCAGATAGCTGTGTTCTCCCATCTTATGTCTTCACTGCTTTCAATCAACTTTTTCCCTAGTCCAGCATCTTCCTGTGCAAATTACTGAACCTACAGTTTTATAGCATTGTGGCAATTATTATAAATTGTTTACAGCAAAATAGATGTATACTTTTCCTGCAGTCATTGATTTTGCCTGGCTACCCTGTCAAAGTGTGGGCCCCATGAGGGCATAGTCCTGATGCCTGGCACGGAGCAGACACTCCGAGCATCCCTCACAAACAAGTGAGTGGGTTCCTGGAATGCTCTGCAGCGTCCCTATGTTAGCACTTATCCTGTGGTGTAGTAATTTCGAATTTCCTATCTGTCTTACCCACTTGGAATTGAGTTCCTGAAGGGCATGGATGCTGCATGCAGCACTCGCTTCTGAATCCAGGAGGCCTAGCATACAGCAATTGCTAAATAAAACAGAGAAAAAGAAGCAAAGAGGCAAAGAATGACAGAGAGAGCAACTGACCTGGAGAGAGAAGACTAGCGGACAAAGAATAAAACCAGGACCACAATAAGGGCACTCAGACACCTGAAGATACTGGGAGGGAGGCAACAGGCAGGAAAGGGATGGCAGCAGGGACAGAGTCGGGGAGGAGAGCCTGGAATCCCTTACACACAGCTGATAACCAGCAGTAGCTTGGACACGCTCTGCAGGTGGAAACCATTGGTGGTGTCCTCAGGGATATGTCGTGTCTGCGTGGAACCTGGAAGGAAAATAGAAAGGCCATCACCATCATGGCCCACAAGTCTACCAACTACTGATGTGACACTGGTCATGCACAGAACTTCAGGGAATGACAGAGAACTGTCCATGATGCTGTCAGGGCAACAGTGTGATAGATAAACCCAGCCTTCCAAAAGTGGAAGGTAAGCGCATCAAGGGCACGGTCATGGGTTAGGTCAAGTAGGTGGATATTAAAGTCCCTGAGCAAATGAGAAAATCAACAGACCTGTGTAGCTAGGACACAACAGATGCAGGACAAAGTGATCTGCAGGTGTGGAAGGGGACAGCACTGTGCTAGGACTAGAGACAGCTTTTAGCTCTGGCTTTATCCATATTGGCTCCATGATGGGGAGCAAGTCACATAACCTCTCTGCGAGTTCAGTTTATTCAAATGCAATGTTAGTCAGAAATCCCATAGGTAAAACACATGATGTTGGAGTGCGAGTGCTCTGGCAGCAGCTGCGGGAGGGACACAGATGGCTGGCCCTCTCCTGGCCTGCTTCTTTCTCCTCTCCTGTCTCCATCTAGCTCTGATGAAGAACCAGGTAAGTGCAGAGCACAGTTTGAAAACACGGGACTGGTTAGTTCCTAAGGCCTCCTATACTGGCAGGTTTCCATGACTGAGTCAAGACACGAGGTTGTGAATGGCTGGATGGGAAGAGGAAGACATATTAAGGGAGTCCACTACCTGGTACAGCAGGTCCTTTGTGGGTCCATGGGGCCAAGGGAGGGGGCTACCTTGGACTCCCTGACTTTTGTGTTCTGAGGTAATCTCAGGCCTGAGCTGCAGCTTCTCCCTGGTGCATTTCCCAAGAACTTGGAAGCTGCATACGTGAGCCTATCCAGGTAGACATGGAGCATAGGCAGCACGAAGGCATAAACCCAGAGGCAACTTTTATTCAGCCGAGCACACATATGGGTCAGCAGGGGCTGAGGAACTTAAAGGGCAAATGGAAAGAGGAAGAACAGCTGGAGTCTCAGACTTAAAGAATTTTGTGCAAATGATATACAGCCTATACCCAAGGTGCAAAATGAGTGTGCAACAGTGTGCCTTGGTACAGGCACGTGGCTCTAGCCCAAAGCCCTACGCCACACCACCTGTCCCACCTGGCACACACCTGCCACATGCTTGATCCTGCGGCCCACATCTTCATCCGTGGGTGTGGTGACAGGGCTCATCACCTCTTCCAGGTGAGGCACCCGCAGGTGGGCATGGGGACGCTTCCTTCTCCGTACAGTTGGGGGCTTGCTGGCCTTCTCTTTGGGAGACTGTCTGTGCATCTCAGCCAGGTAGGTGCTCTCTGTTTTGGTCAGCTCACTCTCTGTCAGAGACAAAAAGGCCACATCATAGGCTGTCTGCTCATACCTCCAACCCAACACATTGGCCTCCAGAGGAAACTCTGTCTACTCCTAGCTGAATCTTCACTAAGGGAAGCGTTTTCCATACTAAATTCTGGGATGTTAGTGGAGAGGGCACGGGTTCCTCAGGAATGCCCATGAGCCTCGAGGAGTGCTTCAGGGACCCAGCCCAGCCCAAGCCCCTTTTCTGGGTTGTTCAACATTGAGTAGAGACAAAGGTTACTGACATCTGCAGCCTCGTATACACAATTTGGGGCACATCATATTTCCTAATAGATGCACTGATAGGCTGTTTCCTTCCCATTACAGAATTATCACCAGTGAGACCAGATCTGAGGTTCATTTTTTTTTTATGGGGGTGGGGTCATGGATTCCTTAATGAGCTCATAAAAGTGACAGGCATTGTCTCTGAAAAAATGCACATGTTCACACACATGCTGAATTTTGTATCCATTTCTGGGGCAGACTTAGGGATCCCATGAAACCCCTTCACTGTCTCAGTCTCTCTCCCCATTCTCCATGTTCCCCATTCCCCTCAATGGCGACAGCTGTACAGTTCATGGAGTTCTACAGTTCAGCCAGCATCAATATCTGTTGCACTCACCTAAATGGCGGAAGTAGTCCTCCAGCCCACTCCAAAAGTTCTTCTCGATAAAAGTTTTCACTAACCCCCAGGGCTGTTTTCGATAGCGCAGTTCTGTGGAGACCCTGAGGATAAAGACACAAACAAGATCAGCCATTTCCTCAGTAGACCCTCCTCTGCTGGAAAAGGGGAAATTCAGGTTTAAGTCCAAAGCAGCTTCATAATTGTGCTGCATTTCACAAGGTAAAAAGTCCTTTCACATCCATATGGCCACCCTGTGAGGTCAGTGGAGCTAGTGGATTAATCTTTATTTTTATAAGTGAGAACACTGATTTTAGAATATTTTAGCAGCCCAAAGGCTGACAATAAGGGCTCTGACTCCAAGCCCAGAGTGATTTCATGACACCTGCTGCCTCCTCCCTGGGGGGCTCCAGGTGGTACCAAGCAGCCTGCCAGCCCACCATGGGGGTCCTTCTTTACTTCTGTAGAGACTTTGAAGTCCAAGTCAGGCTCTAGGGTTTCATCATGTCCACCTTTAAGAGTATCATCTGCTACTGGCCCGGGATCCTGCCTCTTCACTCTACCCAAGACCTCACCAGCTCTTTCTTTTTTCCAAATATCCTCTCTCCTGGTCACGAGTCTCTCTGCTGCCCATTAACTCCTTCCTTTCCTACACAGCATCTCTGCCCTTTGATTCTCCTTAGGTTCATTTTTGTACGTTAGTATAGTCTTCCAGTTTATGCTTCCCATGTCTAAGTCTGCCTTCCCTGCCCTCACCTCCTTCTGCAGGGATACTAGCTCCACCCATAGGCTGAGGTGAGCCTGCCTATGCTTGGAGCCACCTCACCACCAGCAGTCCCCCAAACAGTTACAGTAGTAATACCTTGGTTTGCGAGCATAATTCTTTCCGGAAACAAACTACTCGTATTCCAAGACATCGCTCGTTTACCACATTAAAATATATTAAAAATGTTTGTTCATCTTGCAGAACACTCACAAACCACATTACTTGCAATCCAGGGTTTTACTGTATTTACTAGATTGAGGGTGGACAGCCTTTGAAAAGGTCTATCTGTGGTCAACAAGCCACCTCTGTGTGAACTGGACAGAAAGGACATCTGATCAGAAGCTCCTCAATGAAGCTAGAAATGAAAAACCTAGACACTGTGCAGTTAAGGACTGGGGGACACAGAAGGGCAAAGAGAGAAGGGAGGGAGATAAAGGAAGGCAGGGTGAGAGAGGAGTAGATGCTCAGAGAGCTGCACAGAAACAACAAAAAAATTATTTTAAGATGATGAGAAAGATACAGACCCTTTTTGAGGTGTGGGTATTCAGATCTCCCTGATTCCTGAGCGATTTCTCTGGAGTCTTTCACTAAACACCTATTTATTTGAACTATACGAGTGCATTTCTTCTCCAAACAACCAAAAGAACTTGGTCTAAGATACAGGTATTCAAAATGATTATTTTTAAATGAGTGGGTGTCTGGTGGGTAACTTTTGACTTTTTAAACAAATACAAACTTCTTAACACGTCAGGGTCTAACTTTCTTCCTTCCATGAATGCACGTCACAGGACAGGACTCTGCCACAAACAGCATTCTATCAGCATTTTCTGGGCTCAGATACGTGCAGGTCCTGTGCTGAGTGCTGGGAATAAAGCGTTTATGGGACTGGGGTTCCTGTGCGCCAGGAGCTCACTGTCTACAGGGAGATGAGAGGTAAATCACAGAGCACACGGGGTGATGGAATGAGCACAGGTTTGCGTTTTGAAGACTTGGGTTTCAGCACTTACTGGGGATATGACTCTTGGCAAAGTTACTTAACTTATATGACCCTCGGCTTTCTTATCTGAAAAATGAGGATAAATCCACCTCCTTGGGTCATTCTAAAGAATGCACTTTAAGTACACTTTATAAACTATGGAGAAATGATAAACAGCAGTCGTTATAAAAGTTTTAGTAAAGAGATGTGCAGGGAACCCATGGTGGAGAGAATAACTGTCAGGATAGGAAGGCGGGGGTGGGGTCTCAGGGGCTTCAGAAAGAAGATAGAATAAAGACTGAGTCAGCAGGCCAATATTCCCAACCTCCTCCTCCCTCCTCAGGAGAAAAACGAATGTTGCCTAATGTAAGGACCCCCACGAACTTCCTTCCAAAAATCTCCTCTGAGTCCACTCGGGCCCTGAAACACTGCACCTGAGCCGGCTCTTGTTCCGGGCCACTCGCGTGAGTGTGTAGCGGTTGATGGTGTAGAAGTAGTCATGGTACGGCACGTCGTGGGTGAGGACTTCGGCATCTATCACATAACACTCACTCTCCTGGCTCGCCTTGTACATGGTCTGTGGGAGGAAAGGTCCACTGGACACGACTCAAGAAAAGCAAGATGGAAAAAGCGCCTCCTTCCCCAATCTCCCTACTTCTGAATGGAGGACCCAGGACCATTGGAAAGGGCAGCATCTAACCAGATGAGATGCTACTGTTTCAGGGCCAAACGACACTTGCACTAACACCTGTCCTTAATCCTTCGCAACAGAACAGAGGCTTTTCCAGCCCTCTTTATTTACCTCTGCCCTCGCCTCACCTGTGTCTCCCTGACAGTGGCAGTTTTAGGAGCCAGAGGGTTGGTAAGGGTGATGGTGTAAAGGATCACTCGGCTCTGGTTTCCATTGTCTTCCTTTTTCCATGGATGGAAGATGATATCTGAGGGTAGAGAAGAGCCCTGGGATGAGGGAGGGGAAGAGGCATGCCCTCCTCGCATCTGAATTTCCCCTCCAAGTGAACTTCTCTTGACTGTACTGAATGCTGACTGGCCCCCCCAAAGGAAGCCAATGGAGTCTGAGGGCTGGGGGAGGAGGGTGGGAGGAAGGGGAGTCAAAGCAGAAAGAGGCTCTTTGTGGCACTGCCGAGATTCTACCCAGGGCTCCAGAATGCTGATTGTTCCTGGGGCTGGGGCAGGAGGTCTTGGGGCCACCTACGGGGATGCTGGCAACACTGGAGTTACTGTGACCAGGGCCTGGGATCCTTGGGAACAAGTCCTCTCCTCTAAGGCATGACCTCCCCATGCCCTCAGAATGCCCTCTCCTCCTGGCAGTGGGGTACGCTGATGCCTCAATTTTCTTTCACAGACTCAGAAGCTGAGCAGCTCTGCTGAGCCAGAGCCGTAGGCCCTGCTCTGACGCAGAACCGGAGCCAAGGGCTGAAACAGGAGCACAGAGGTGTAAGGGGTGAACTGTGAGAGTCCTCGATTTGAATCCTGGCTTGGCACCTTCTTAGCTGCATGACCTTGGGCAAGTAACAATAGTGTGAGTTCCAGTTTCCTCGTGGGTATGGTGAGGATCACAATATTCACACAGGGCAGATCTGAATACATGAGTTAAGGTCATGTGCTTGGAATAGAGCAGGCTTCTACCAGTAAGTGGTCACTACCACTCTTTCTAGACAGTAAGCCCTGGGAGGCCTTGATCTCTGTGAGCCCTTGGGGCCCGGCACGAGAGCCTGGTGCACAGTGGCTGAGGGTTACGCCGCAGCGTTGGGGGAAGGGGTAGCATGCAGGGCCCTGAGACAGGCCGGAGAGGGGGTGCCCGGGGCCATCAGGGGGCCTGGATAACGAAGGGCGCTTGGAAAGAGAGGGAAGAAGGGTAGGAGAAGGGGAAGGGATGGGCGGCTCCAGCCTGGGAAGAACGAACCTGAGAAGCGTCGCTGCTCCATGAAGTCCCGCTGGAAGGGCGAGTCAGTGAACAGGAGGTCATAGAGCTTGTCCACGCTGAAGTTGAATACTTCATTCACATACTGCCGGCCACTCAGGTCCTCGTAGAAGGCCTGGACTTCCCCTGCATGGAGAATATGAGGCAGTAGGCAGTGAAGGTGAGGGGCAGGGAGCCTCAGGGAACTCCCCCAGAGCACGTATGTCTGTGTGGCTGATGTGGGAATGGCCACCACGGGAGACCATGGAGTGGGGTAGCTGGGCACCTGGGCTGCCCCGTTTCCTTCAGCCTCCTTCCTCCGCTGGCACGCGCACTATTTACTCCAGATGCCACGCAGTCACTCGTCCTTTACAAAGAGTCTGGAATGGACTACGTATTTGCTTTTACATTTTCAAGCCTCCCTACTTAAGGTGCTCTTAGAATCAAATGTAAATAAATGATTATCTCCTGGGCTTGCCTGAGCCAAGAGGATCAGTTATTAAGAGTCTATGTAAGTTGACCATGACTGACAACGAATGGCCCTGTAACCTTGGCATAGGCGCGTTCAAGGTACGCTGATTAATCTGTAATAATCTATTTGAAAGCTTCTAAGGCTCAGCTGGTCTGCAGGGCCACGATCTCCAACTACACAGCTCTGCTCTCCCTTCCGCCAAGCAGGTTATCTCCCCTATGATTTCAATAACCTTTAATTCTCTGAAGTTTCTGTCTTCTAAAAGAGACTGCGTCTGAGGGTATAGGTGAGTTGCTAAGGCCCCAGTACTTCGTTCCAAGCCCTCAGCATCCCCATATTCCCTGATTACTGCGCCTGCAGGGGCTGGTAGATGATCTCAAGCAGGATGCTGACATTTCTGGTACCCCTGTGACCCTGAGGAGGCCCAGGAGGAACTCAGGAGCGTCCTACAGCGCCTGTGACTGTACAGGAGGGGCATCGTGTGAGCACAGTGGGGGGAATATTTACTTCTTAATTTACATGAATGGCACCCCTGTTATTATGCAGGACCCTGCCGTGCAGTCATCTGCACTGGCCCTGCATCGTAGATGGAAGTGGGGAAAGCAACCAAAGGTGAGAAAACCACTGCAGGTGACCCACAGGAGAGACTGTCCACAGATGGCTAAGTGAGCACTGTCTGCATTTATTCACTAGGTCAGAACCTGCCACCAATTCGATGAAGGTAAACCATCAGCCAAGTTCATAAATACTGAAAATTTGGCTGCTCACCCTGGGATGTAAGCAGCAGCATGTTCTCGAGTGAGGTCCTAGAAGGTAACCCTGTGCAGGAGGGAAGTAGGAAGCTATCTACTTAGAAATATTAGAGAGAAGGGCAGTCTCCAGAGTCTGTCTGACCCAGCAATACCTTTTCTTCTAGCCTGGTCTAAAAATCCCCACACTGTAGTCACTAAAGCAAGTTTCTATTAAAATCTAATTATCTCCACGTGGCAGCTAGCTGACTGACCCTTTCCTTGTGGCATACAAACATTGCCTTACCTTGCATCCCCGTGAGGGACAGAGCTGCAAGGTCAGCCAGTGTTAATAGGGGGTACATTTAGTGAGAAGACTATATGGCAGAACAAAGCATTATCTTTCGAGCAAAAATGGTGAAACATGGAAGGATGAGGTTCCTGCAAACTGAGTATCTCAAAAAAGGATCTATGCTAATGACAAATGTACCTTTTTTAAGAAAAGCTGTTACTCACCCACTCTTCCCCCAGGAACCTAGAGACTGACTCCAGTCTCCATAGAGGGACATCCTTTTAGCCTTCAAAATGGAAAAAGGAAGGGCCACTCCGCACCCATGTTCAAATGCCCACCTTCATCGTGGGTGTCGGAAGAGTCACTGAGCTCGGTGGGGATGTCCTCATTGTCATTGAAGTCCAGTGAAGGGGAGTTCACAGGTGCAATGATGTCAATCTTCTCCCCAATGATGGTGTCAATGGTGAGCTCCTTCTCCAGGGACACATCGCCCTCCAGTACCTCCTCCTCCAGAGGCAGGCCATCAAACTGGGATGGAGACAGGGGAAGTTAGGGACCTGGCCTTGGGCGCCCTCACACTTACAAAAGGAGCTGGGCTGGAGTCCCACTCTGGGGGTTCTCCCCAGCCCTGCTGCAGAAGATGTGAGAACACTACAAGGTTCCGCACTTCTCTTGCTTGCCACTAAATAGCACACCAAACACCACAAGTTGGCAGAGTTAGCTCCTTCCGTCACCGGTCTGTTCCTGGAGCCACACCTCCACCATGCTGTAACAATGTTGGCCTGCCTTGCGCTAGTGTCTTGTTTTCTACAAGGCTCAAAAGGGCCTCCTGAGCATTTTTTGATTCATTTTCCCATTAGCCCTGGAAAGGAATAGGTACAATTCTTTACATTTTAAAGACAACTTCAGAGACAGGAAATGGAGACTAGGCATCAAATGAATGATGTTTTCATTCTAAGGCCAGGTGGTCTGACCCCTAAGCCACTGGAATACAAGGCTCCCTTTTCTGGGAATCCTTTCCTGAGGAACCCCACCCATCCTTCTATTGGCCAGCTCATACCCAGACACGCTCCCTTCATCAAGCTTGCATCCCCTCTGTAACCAGGTCCCGGAGAACACAGGTCCTTCTTACACATTTTTATCTCTTTCACGAAGTCTAGCACAGTGGGAAAATAAACCGGAATGTATATACTAGGAACTCAAAACTATTATTTATTGAATAGATGAATAAACAGATAACAGTTCTATAGCCCTATATTAATGTACAACTTTCCCTTCGGATCAAGGCAGTGAAAACAAGAGCCCAAATAGCTCTCCACCAGAGGGCTGACCTGGAACAGTCCACCAAGAACAAAACTTGCATGGTGGACTTGAATGGATTTCATCTGCTCAGAAGCCAGACAAAATCATTATCCAAGACACTGAAAACCCAGCTCTGGATCCTGGGACTAGTATCATTAGAATGGAGCAAGCCCATGTGCTCCAGGATGCCTCACTGTACAAACTGACCACATGTAACCAATTTCCTCTTTACCCGCTCCCCAGGTTAGGGTCCCATAAAACTAACTAAGCTAGGACATGATGGCCGCTAGATAGGCGGTAGAAGCAAAGGGCTCAATGCCCATACCGAGACGGGGGCTTCGCTGCTCCCTGTGGATGTCAGTGTGCTGTTGGTGATGGATTTCTTGGGCAGCTGTGGACTAGCATCTGGTTTGGTCTCTATGCTGCTTTTGGATGAGCTGTCATTGACTTCATTCTCTTCTACAGGGATCTCCTCACAGTACCTAAAAAAAAGACCCCATGAACCCATGTTAACCTCAGTGGCCAAGACTGCCAATTATTCTAAGAACCTCAGACCTATCTATCCAAAACTATGGGCTTTCTTGCTTCTTCGCTCTGTATATGATCTTCCTCTAACCACTCCCCACCCCCATATTGCTCTCCTGAAACCTCCTTCCCACCTTACACACCCAATTCCCATGTAAAATTTCTGGCTCCAAACTTACCTTTTCTAGGAACCCTCCTTAGATTTAGCCTTACCTAAATATGACCATTATTTGTCTTAAACCACTTCCCCCCCTACTGGCATGCCATCCCATCCCAACCTGACCATTTGACTCAAACATCTGGACTCTGAGCATACATTTTCTTTCCCACAGTGACTAGAACAGGACTCTAGGCATGAGTGCCCTTTGGGAGTTCTGCCCAGATTCTGGATCCTAACTAGTCAACTTGGCATTGTACACCTAAGGGAAACCCTCCTTGAGCTAAAGGTGGGTGCCCTTCTAAGGACACTTCAGGAATGTGTCTCCCAAGGGAGAAATCACCATTGTCATCCTCAACATCTGACTTATATTTTACATATTATCTCATCCGGATGCACAATAGCTCTGAGTAAATCATTACATGCATTTTAGAGATACTCAAATAGACATTCACAGAGGTTAAATGATGCCACTACTAAGCGTCAGAAATCATTCCTAAGCCCAGGTCTACGTACTACACATTTGATGCTCTTTCCTTGCTTTCTATTTCTCTGTGCCTCTCACACTACCATCAAGCCTCCACCTACCTTCTTCTAACCTCAAGCATGTTTGTATCACTTTGCAGTCCCATCTTTCTTAACATACCAACAGCATATGATAGCGATACTCTCTTCTTAAAATTTCCTTCCCTTGGTTTCTAGGATTTGAAATTCTCCTAGTGTTTCTCATACCTCACTGGATGTTCTTTCATGATTTCTTTGGCTGCTTCTTCCTCTTGTTGAGTGTTCTCAAGCTGGCCCAGTTCTTGAACTTCTTCATATGTCCATTCAGTTACTTGGCAGTTTCAGCCAATCTCATGGCTATTCACCAAAGTTCCCAGGTGTATGTCCCTAGCCCAGACTCCCTAGTGAACTCTACACTCACATACACAAATGCCTACAAGACAATCTCCACTTAAATAACAGTCATCTCAAACGCAAGTTGCCTAAAACCAAGCTACTATTTTTCCCCTCAAATCTGCTCTGCCTACAGTACTGTCCATCTCCGTTTGGAACAACTCTTCCACTTGGTAAATCCAAGAAAACCTTAAGTCCACCTTTGGTTCCTTTCCAATACATCAGCAAATCCTTCAATATATTTCTGGTTCTACCTTCAAAATATATTCAGAAACTAACCACATATTTAAGCCATTTCTACTGTTAACCCGCCTCGTCCAAACGACCATCACCTCCCATCTAAATGATGTAAATTATTCAATAGCCTCCTAGCCAGTCTACTCATGCTCCCCTTTGTTCTATTTTCAACCTAAGAGCCAGAGTGATCCTGTTAAAGTGTTAAGTCAGATATTATCAATTACCGACTCAAAGCCTTCCCAAGACTTCTCATTCCACTCTGAGTAAAAGCCAATCATCACGTTGGTCAAAAGGCCCTCAGAATCTGCCTCCTGACCTCCCGATCTCATTTCTTCCCATTGGCTCTTTTTCCATTCCACCCAGCCACCTGCTTACTGTTCTCCTCTGCCTGGGAGGGCATCCCGCAGGTATCCTCCTGGTCAGCTCCCTCACCTCCTTCATGGCTTTACTTGGATGTCATTCCCCAGTGAGGCTTTCAATGCCATCCTAGCCCCTCTTGGAAAAGCTCCCTGGGCAGCTGGCCCTCTGCCTCTCTCACCCCATCGTGTTGAAGTCATCATCGGGGGGCACGTAGTCCTCATCATCACTGGTCAGGCCCAACTCATTCCCGTAGCACTGGTGAACGAAGTGCCAGAGCTCCTTGGGGCACAGGGGCTGCAGGGGACAACAGAGAGACTCTGATGCTTCCTTCCTTGGACCCCACTCTACAGGGAGGCACTGAGTTGAGCTGGACTCCCTTGAGGGTAGGAACAGTCGAACTTCACTCTCCCTAGCTGAACTGAGAGACAGCAACACCTCCATGCAACCTCACCGGCCTTCCCTGCCCTCTTCTCAGGATCTCAGCAAGACACCAACCTTCTGCCTAAGAACACATCATTTAGCAAAGTCAGGAACCTGACCTATTCCCTCAACTCAAGTTTGCATATGGAAACAAATGACCCCTTGAGGATGGTAAATGTTCACTTTTTGCTCCCATGGATGAGGTCCAGCATTAAGTGGCGTAAACCAATGTTACTCTGGGGCCAAGGTGATCACAGAGCTTCTGGTTTGGAAGTAGAATGAACACTGGAGATACTTTGAGCCAGTTTCCCTGACACTGCAGAAATCTCCTTATACTAACAGTGGCCATATAGACACTGCTGGATCACATCCAAGAATGAGGCATGACCTCAAAGGTGGCCCATTCCATAGCTGGACTGTTCCTGTGGTTAGAAAGAAGCCTACATTCTCATAGTTTAAGGGGCACCCGACCCTCTCTTGACTAGCTAAATAATGCTTTATTCTTAAGGAGAATCAGTTTGTCTACAGTCCTGTGTATTAGTTCCAGGTTTTCTTATTTCAGCGTATGTCTACATGTCCTCCTCAAAACCACTGTGCTAAAAAAAAGTTAGCTCTCATGAAGTTCAGTTTCGGGAAAAAGGCAACAGATTGTCGAAGAACTAAGATCAGAGGTGGAGACCATAAGTGAGTGTCCGGTTGAGAAGAGGAGGAAGAGGTGTTAGGGATAAGTAAGTGTGTGTGAAAGAAGGAGGGCAAGAGCATTAAGAAAAACAGAAGCAGTCAATCTCTTTAACAAAAAAAAAACAAAACAAAACAAAAAAATCAAACTTAAAGAATGCGTCCCACCAACAGATTCGATAAAGAATCTGAGAACTCTCCAAGTTCATTCCTTTCAAGCTATGGTTTAAGAAGCAGGCAGCTGGCAGAATGCCGTGAGGGAGGGTTCCGGTTTCCCAGCAGAGAACTTCCCAGGACGGCACAGTCTGGGCTCTGTGGGGGTGGCAGCGCTGTCCTGGCCCTTGCAGTATCAGAAGGCACTCTTTCTCTTTTCTGTGGACCTCCTCCTCCTATCTCTCTAGCCTTACTCTTCTGTTCACCCTTCACCCAGCCTGGGCTGCATTTGCTTCTCTGCCCAACTATGTCTTCCCCTCCTTAATAAGTCACCCTCTCTATGCAGCCTTCCCTGAGTAGTGCCACCTGGCTCAGTTCATCTGACCAGTCAGGGCAAGCACAGTTAGCAGACCCTGCTCATCAGGCAGAACTCGTACACTTATTTCGTTAAAACTTTTGTGAACCATGTGGACAACCTTGTCTTATTTAGAAATGACAATGGTTGTGAACTGAACACTCAGTCCTCCCAGTGGAGACTCAAACACATTATCACTTTACCATTATGGATGCCTAATAAATATAGAAGATCTCAGCTCAAGTTAAGTTACCAGGGTTTATACCAGGGCTTATAGACTTCGGGTTAGAAGGAACGCTATAATAATAAATCTACTCAATTTTCTTTAGATAGTAATAAGTTTGGGCTAGAGTCAAGGTAGATACAACTCATATATTTAAATACATATATAACATAATTATTACTATATAATCTTTTTCCTTCTATCTCTTTCTCTGGCTTGGAGGCTGTTTCTCAACACCCCATTATCAAATGGGACTTCTCTAAGGACTGCACCCATGACCTCTCCTTCATCTGCGTCTCTTCCCAGTGTCCCTCAAACACCCAAGTAGTCAACTGGTGCTGTACTAACTCTGTTTACTTAGTTTCTATATTTCTGATGCTCTGGCATCTGATTGAGGTTATTTCCCAGGGTTAGCTAATTCCTAGAGATAGAACACAGCCCGTCTAAGAGCACACCTTTCATGTGTAACCAGCCAACCCAAAGCTCATACACCCAACCACCTTCTTTACCTAGCTCTCACACTCCAGGCCAATATACCCCTACCCTCATCATCCCAGGGACAAGTGCCAGGTAACTAGAGACAGTCTCTATACCCCCAAGTCCTATTAATTTATCCAGTCCTAAATCCGCTTGGCCTGCCTACCCTGCTTCACCCATTACTTCCTGGGAAAACCACAATCAAAGCTCTTGCCCATGCTGTCCCCATGCTGTCTTTGCCTCCTGACTGACCCTGGTGCTTCCCTATGTGGCATGATGTGCCTCTGCTTTTAGGGGTCTGTAAGTATAAAAACTTACAGAGAGTCATTTCCATGTGTGTCTGTGTGTCTCATCATATCTGATTAAAACAAATCCCAGTACATTTAAAGCAGTGGAACTGAAGTGCTTAGAGCCAATGAAGGCCCTGCTGCAGGCAGCTAAGGCTGTTCACTTAAAGAGGACAGACTCCTTTCAGGACTCAGGCGAACACCACCAGCGAGAAAGTCTGGGGGACTTCCAAAACTATGAGGAAACATGGGCTTCTTTGGAGCTGGCCAACGGCAGTAACAGCAATCTTTCCATAGGGCCCACGACCAAGGAGAAAGAACCTTCTGGTTGGATATGCATCCTCCTCAGGCCGAAGGAAGTGGCTGGGCAGTCCTTACCTTTTCAAGGAGAGCATTCTGCCACAGCCGGAACATCATCATATACGTTCTATCCCGGGCCCCAAAGGAAGTAAAAAAGTGCTAGAATGGAAGAGAAAATGGCAAGAAATGTCTGTTAAGACTTACAATGTAATAAATGGAGACACGCAGCTCCTTCCTTTAGAAAAGTTACTGATTTCATCCTCAAATACACAGCCCAAGTACTTAGGTAATGGGGATCGCACAGGTACCTGGGACTTCTAAGTCCCCACTGCAACCACGTCTTTCAATATTCACCCACACTTTCCTTAGTGCTTTTCTCTCGTTTGAAGTTTTCATCTCCATAAAAAATTTCTATCACCTACCTACTGCAACTGGGTAAGTGGCGAGCTGTGAGCTAGACTATATCGGAAAGAAAAGACAAACCCACTCGCCCACCCACCCTTTCATTCATTAATTCAACAAATATTTGAATATTAGCATGTGCTAGGCACTATTCTACATGTTTGGGGTATGACAGCAAGCACAATGGAAAGAGGCCCCTTCTCTGATGGAGCTTACATGTTAGTGGGGACTCTTTATAACACGCAGGAAGAAAGCAACAAAAACCAGGTTTTACTGAACATGTTCTAGGTGCTTCACAAAGGCTGCTTCACTGACACCATACAAAGCCTTGAACAACAAACTAACTGCTAATACCTAATAAAGAGAAACAGGCTGGCGAAGTTAGGTGACTTCTGCAATGCTAAGCTAATGCATTCCAGAAACAGAATTCAAACCAAAGACCACCTGACCCCAGTCTCATGGTTCCTGTCGCTGAACTGCCTGAGTCCAAGGGCATTGTCAACCTTGTGTTGGGCAGAAACTTCATCCATCCTGAGCCCTGTAGCTATCAGTCTTCAGGCTCTGATTAAAGGGTCAAAGATCACAGTGTTTTCTCTGCCCTAAATTTTATCTTCCACATTTTCCCTAAACCTGTACGGACAATTCATTTGCTATCAGTCTCCTCAACCCTCTTGATGAGCTATGCTGGTATACAATGATAACAACTTACATTTGGATAGCACTTTACAATTTAGAGTTTTCAAATGTTTGATGTCATTTCAACACAGTTAAATAGGTACTGCTGGCTCCATTTTACACACGAGAGAGGTTACATAACACCCCTACAGTCATAGGACTCTAATTCAGGTGTTCTGGCTCTAAGTCCAATGTACTGCCACCCTGCTCAGACCCCAAACACCCTGCCCACCATGGACGTGGCTTTGTAATGTGCATCACTTTACCATCTCTCGCCCCAATCCTATGGCCTCCCCATTCATGCAATTAAAGGGGAGAAATACAGGCGTGGAGGACTGGGGTTTGGGGGAGGAGGGAGTAGAAAGTCCAAGATTAGACTCCACTTACCTTTTCCGAGTCAGTGCAAACTTGGATGGCATTGGGAATGAGGCGAGCTGTTTTTTCTTTAGTCATGGAGCAGATGTCTTTCAAACGAACGGTCAGCTGGTGTTCCCACAGGGACAGAGAATGGGCAACAAGCAACAAGAGGCATTAATAGAGTGCTCAGGTGACACCAGTTCCGACACAGGAAATCAGATGACAGTCTACATATCTCTAAATTTCCTTAGAGAACATCTGGTTTAGCCCCTAATTTCACAGAAGCCACACAGTGAGGTGGTGACTGAGCCTCACCTAGAGCCCAAGGGCGTCTTGATTCTTGGTCCATGGAGCTTTCGTTCTCATTTCTACACAGTCTGAAAAATGTGTCGAGGTCCTGTCACTATGCCACTTACAGAAACACAGAACAGTAGCACTGGATGGGACTATAAAAGTCACCTAGTCTATCTTTTCCCATGTTATTTTATAAGACGAGGAAACAGAGGCAAAGGAAAAATAAAGGACTAGCCTAAAATCACCCCGATAATTAGTTTCAGAACCCAGAAAGCGTTCAAGCCAGTTCTTCTGTGTCCCAAGGCCAATGCCCTTTTGACTCCACTATTCTGCCTTCTGCGGTGACTCCTGCCATATATTTACCTTCATTTGCCAAAAGCAAATGCTCCCAACATTCTCTTCCACACCCAAGAGGGTGGGAGGGGAGGACATGGTAGAGGAGACCTAGCCTTCAAGACTCAGGCACGTGTTTTTGTTAATTATGCAAAGGCTTGGGTAGAGTATGAAGTCAACAAAGGGAAGAAAGTGGGGGCAGCTTACTCAGCCACAGCCAAAGGGAAAGCCCAAGTGTGTATGCCCAGGTATTTACCAGAGTTTCCCAGCGGAAGATGTTGCTGTAGAAGCAGATCCAATTTTCAGAGAGGTAGAGTCGGCCCTGAAGAAGAATGTCTCTTTGGAGTGCACATGAGTAATCTGTGGTAGGATGGGGGGCAGAGGAGCTCAGACTCAGGAAGTGTTTTCTGCAAACCATTACAAATTAGGCAAGCCATCCCTCCCACCAGCACTAGGGGAGCCCAGTTGCCTACCACCACCTGGGTATGTTTGAACTACTGGGTTGTCGGAAAAGTCATGACGTATTTTTTCTGTTTTTCGTTGCAAAAATGCGTCATGACTTTCCCAACAACCCAACAGAAGCCAAGGGAGTCCCTAGCATCTCATGATCAGGAACATGAAGGATGTGAAATATGCTACTGGCCTGAGGTGGAAGAATGGCTGAGACAGCAGAGGGGATCAAGAGAGTTAGAGGTAGAAAAGGCCTATAAAATCAACTAACTCCCCTCCCAGCCCACAATTACCCCATCCCTTCACTGCTGGGCCCTCTGCAGAGATAAGAGTGGCAGTGACTCCTCCCAGGTTGGGTTCTCTCTTGAGGCCACCACACACGTAGTGCTCAGCCCTGAGCCCCAACCACTGGGGTCAATGCTCTGGACAGTCTCTCTCCCTGTTCTCAGACAGGCTTGCTTACTTGGGGAACCTCTAGACACAAGCTGTCTTAGTGCTATCCTAGGACTCCCAAACCTCCTTCCTGGCCTCCCACACCCAGGTCACCCAGCTCACCAACAATGAGGCGCTCCGTGTCTGGAAGTTGCTTAAATAGCTTTCTGAAGTCTTCATTTCTCTGCTTGTAAGTGGGGCTTAACACCTGCATTACAATGGCCAAGGTTAGTGGGACATTCCCAGGTTCTGTGGGGTTGGGAAGGAAGGTGCAGGAGGAGGACCTGCATGTGTGTTTAAAAGGCAATGATGACACTTTGTTATCCCATAGACCCTAGCAGGTCAGGGTAGGCAAAGGGGACTTGGCATGGGAAGACACTGCGGAGAGAATCTGATACCTTGAAAGACTTTGTATCCAATGTAAGTCAGTGAGACAAAGTCAAACATACTACTAAGCAGGGTCCACATTACATCCTAAGAAGAGAAAAGAAGTGGGGACACCTCCAGGGAGCTTCCTGGGACCCACCATGTCAGCTACTGCTATTCTGCCTTCTGCCAGCAGGAAGCACCACCTTGACAGTGAAGCAGGGGACCAAGGGGCTCCCCCAGGTTCCCAGTAGGACCCAGGATACGATGGTGCCCAGCACACCCCTCAGAAGAAGTTATCATGACTAAAACAGTAAGCACTTGCTGTGTGTGAAATTCATGATTGGAAAAAGAATCCTAAGACTAGTACAATGTTATATGTCAATTATAGCTTAACAAAACTAGGGGGAAATTGCACTTTCACAAAGACTGTACTAAACAACAACCTCCCTCCCCCCACATCCCCCCAACCACAAAACTAGTACTAGAATAAGCACACAAATAGAGAATATAAAAGCACGTCGGGCAATTACAGGTACCCAGCCTCATTCTCTTACCATCCTTTATAAAAGTATCCAATCCTTACGTTACCGAATAAGGAAACTAAGGCCAGAGAAAAGTCCCTTGCCCAAGGGCCACCAGCTGCTCTGTGGCATATCTCCCAATCCCTGATCCTGTGATCACCTCCTACCCCCATCTGTGCCTCCAGATGCCCCTGTGCCCACCTAGCTTTGGGGGTACCTCAGTGCAGACTCACACCCATAAAATGCCTTAGCAAATCCTCCTTGGAAATACCATGAGCCAATTGAATAGACAGAAATGCTGCTGTTTCCAAGCTCACAATCTTAAAATTACAAGAAAAGAAATGTGGCCAGTTGAGTGGCTCAGTTGGTTAACAGCTCACTCACGAGTGCGAGCTCTGAGCAACAGGGTTGCCGGTTCGATTCCCAGCCCGAGCTGAGCTGTCGCTGAGCTGCCAACAGGTGGCAGGATGGCTCAGTTAAAAAAAAAAAAAAAAAAAGAAAGAAATGTGCCCTGTAGATGAAAGGCACCCAATGATACATAAAGACAAGTGCAAAATGCAGGAAGAGCCACATATCACAACAGAGAGACATCTGCACTCCACCCAGGCAATTCGTTGACCTACGTACTTCTGTCAGGAGCACACACATGCAGACAGACTGTCCTGGTGATGGTGACAGATGGGTTTTGGCCTTTTACAGTTTCTCACCCACTCCCCTAGGAGCCCATTGGCAGACAGCTGTTGCGACAATGGAATGAGCTTTGGACTGTTCGTTTTTTGTCTTTCTGAAAAGCTGAATGCTCTACAAGGAAGCGGAGGCTGTGGCCTGATCACATTTACAGCATGCACTGACTACCTAAGTGGCCCCATGGCTCTTGTGCTAGAGGAAGTACTTCAGGAAGTTAGAAAATGGCATGATTGTAGTTCAGGGCGGTTTTCCAGAAGAGAGGGAAGACAGTGCTTTCAACAGCTTCATCTAGGGTGAATTAGAAACTTTGGTTTTGGCTTATTTTCAAAATGACTTGTACTTGCAATAGTGGATGCCCTGCTACCTTCCCCAAAGCAATGCCATGTTGTAGAATTCCAAACTTCGAAAATCACCTGTCATAAATTTGAACCAAGTAGCAGGGCCACTGGGAGTGAATATCTGGAAACCAGACCATCCCATGACTTCTATGGCTAGAAAAGACCCCAGAATACAACATGCCCCTGGCTCATATGTTTCTTCCAAACTGATACTGAGACAGCCAATCTAGATGGCTAGCTGGCCTCGCAGAATGGAGTCCGCACACTGAAAACCTACACTTGACCATCAGTAAGTCTGAATTGTATCTAACTGGCCCTCTGGAGCTACCATTAAGCTAACACAGAATGAGTGAGTTATTACTATGCACCAAGTACTGTCATAGGCCCTTCACATACAGCATTTCATTTGACCACAGGGTTTTTACTATCCCCTTCCGTACAAAAGGAAGTTGAGGCACAGAGAGGTGAAGCAACTTGCCCAGGGAATGTGGTTACTAAGTAGAGAGTGGACTGTGAACCAAGGCCATTGGACCCAGAGCTCCTGGACTGAGCCATCATTCTACCTGGTCTCAGGGTCCTTGAGGCAAGAGGGGACCAACAGGAATCTCCCAGCAGAACACACTCTTGGGGATAAGATGTTCACCTACTTTGGGTCCCCCATTAGCCTTCCATGTCCACAGATGGGTCTGTTTTCTGGGTGGGGTGGGAATAAAGTTTTGGTTTTGTAAGAGGAAGAAGTTCTGGAAATTGGTTGCACAACAATGTAAATGTACTTAACGCTACTGAACAGTATATTTAGAAATACTTCAGATAGTAAATTTTATGTTACATGTATTTTACCACAGTTCCAGTATCAGCCTGAGGATGAGCCTACCAGGGGGCCCCCAAACCCCCTTCAGGTGAAACTGGACATCAGGCATCTGGTTGCCTGAAGCTTGGCAGTCCTCTTATTTCTGATGTTTTCTCCATATTGCTCTCACCCTTGCTTCTCATCTCTGATGGGAACTCAGACATCTACGGAGGTAGAGGTGCAGGGAGTCTGGCCATAATCGCCACACCTCTCCTTTCCTTGAAACAAAGCTGTAGGGGAAAGGAGGGCAAATCTAGCCCTGACCTCCAGTCCCTAGAGGTAGGGACTCCTGAACGCAGGCTTGCAAATAAATGCCCGGATTCCACCAGGCTGCCAGTGTGGATGGCAGGCCAGCCTTTGCCTGCTAAAGTACGGAGACACACGAGATCAGGCTGCCACTATACATCCTCTTGACACAAGAGACCATGATCCTCTCCCTCTCCACCCATGCTCTGAAAACAATCTCCTCCAAAGGTGAGGCTCACCTATTTTAATTTAAAATGGCCAAAGAATTCTGGTTTAAGGACTGTCAAATCTGGGGCCCTCAGGTAGGAAGTCCAAGTAGGAAACGACAAGGGTGCAACAGAACTGTCACACAGGCACAGACAAATGAGGTTGTACACTCACGGCTGGGATTTCTTCATATTCATGCCAGCAACAGAGTTCCGCACCAGCAGGTACCTCCGTAACTTTCTTCAGGTACCACTGCAAAGGCTGGCTGTCCTGCTCCAGCAGCAGGCTCCACAGGACCCCAGATTCTGTCAACGATTCCATTGCTCTCCAAGGTTCCACCTCTCCACGGAGCCCAACTGCTTGAGTTCTGATTCCCTACTCTCCCCACAGGATGAAAACGGGCAGGCTTGCCTGGGCTGAACGCAGATGGGGGACCTCTGGCTTCTTGACAGATGGGTCTACGTAACCCCAGCTGGCCTCCTTTTCTCTCCTAGAGCTCCGTTCCCAGCACGAAACTCCACAAATGGGAGGGTGTGGTCAGTATGGTTCTTGGGACAGGCCGGCCGGCCAGTCTCCCATGGCCGGGTTCTGCTTCACCCTGCTCAGCTCCCAGTGTAGGCTGGTCTTCACGCTAAGGGTGACTCAGAGTGGATGTGGTGAAGCCCCTCCTCCTGGTCAGTGTGGACAGCCACTCCAAGATGCCAGCTGAGGCCAGAGGAGGCAGACGAGACAGCAGGTGCACAGAGCTAGCTAAGGACTCTGAACGTCAGGCCACTGGTGGACAGACAAACTGTGCAGGAAGAGGGTGGCCCCGCAGCCAGGTCCAGAGGTCTACCTCACCTTACTCACACACAGCAGGGTGGCTCATAGTTGTTCTGAAACCCCAAGGAGAGAACTAACGCCCAGCTCTCCAGCTCTGTCTGGCCTGTCCCATAAGGCAGTCCGTTCAATGTGTAATCGCTACTCTTGGCGGACACTGGTTGCTATGACTCACTGCCCTTACCCAGGCAGAGCGGCCACCAATGGCTGTGGCAATAGGGCCTGCTCTCATCCCCACCCCTACACACACCCCTTTCCTCCCAGACATGCTCCTCTTGGCTGACCAGCAAACAACTTCTTTGTTAGAGTCTCCAGTGGCGGGAGGGAGGGAGAGAGGCAGGGCGGGTGTGCGGGCAGGACCAGAGCCCTACACATGCTTCAAGTTACAGGATCTGGTGATGGTACTGGCCAATGTCCTCCAGTAACCCCTGGCCTGCCTGGCCTCCCAACAGATGTTTCCTGCAATGGAAAGTAGCTGGCCAAGGCGCCAAGTGGGGGTGAGGGGAGACAAGAAGGTGCCAGGGGCACTGCTCTTATGATGAAATGTGAAATTTGAGACTCAAACAACCAGGGACTTCTTGCAGACACACTCTCCCCTCGCTGACGCATCCATCCACCCACTTCCCTATGGCAGCAGCAACAGGAGATTTGGAAGTTTTACTCATCTGATAGCAGACGTGCTGATGGGAGAAGTTGAGCAGATTGCCTGGAGAAGTTGAGGTCAACAGCTCTGGGGCCTGTCTAAGGCATCTCCTTCCTTTCCAGGGGCCCTGCCCTGCCTCCAGCTCTAGCAGGAGGGAAACAAAGCCAAGAGGATTCCCAGGCAGCTGCTCAGACCTTGAGGGCCAAGTAGCAATGCTAAAAGCAGAGAACTTGGCCCCAGGTCAAAAGGAGACAGCCCAATGCAGAGAAGCTGAGATCTCCGGGAGAGGAATGGGAGTCAGGCCAATGGGGGCAAGAGGGGTTCCAGACAGAGAAGCTGGGGACCAGGATCAGATTAACACTGGGGTTGGGAAGACTTGCATTCCCAGGAAACGTCAGGTTTTTGAAACAAATGGGGCCCCACCCTCACCCTTCCTAGCTAAGTCCACCTTGTGAGGAGGGCCTGAAGCCTGCACATGACGAATGGTGCCTTTGTCCTAGGAGTCTCAGCAATTTGATGCAGCAGCACTAAGGCTTTGGTGTGCTTACAAAGGTCCTAATGAACGCACTGAAAATGTAGGTTCTTGACTCCCAAACCCAAAGATTCTGATTCAGAGGAACCTGGGGTCTCCTGGTTAAACAGTGTTGGAGAAAGTAGAGGAAAAGTCTGAATCCTTCCCCAGACTTCTGTACCCCACTCTCATGTACACACCCTGTATACAGCCACTGCCTCCACGCATGTACACTATGCAAGGTAATTACTCCATCACATAACTAACTTATCAGGAAGGATCTACACCTCAAACACATTTATATCTTCTACAGCACTCAGTACGACATGTTTCAAATATCAGATGCGGAAAAAACTATTTATCAAATGAATGTATTTCTAATACGCCTCTAAAACTGTTCCTATTTACACAGTATCTTATGAGTCCACGCCCACATAGATCCCCAATTGTATATACATGACTTCTCAGTGCCCAGTGCCTGCCAACACTCTCCAAACTGTACATCTGAGCTTCTCTTTGCCCTGTGTCAGCCCTGTCCTCAGCTGTGTCACAGGAGACGTCAGCAATTCAATGGAAAATGTCTGTCCTGGGCCACACCAGACCCCAAGATCTAGGCCCACAGGGTTGATTCCTTACAGTAATTCCCCAGAAGCATCTGAGTATTGCTGTGGGTCAAATGCGAAGATGACTCTTTGGGTTACAATGGGGTGAGGCAGGTGGAGGATACAGGCAGAGAGTCTAGCCCCTGGGAAATGAGTCTCAGTGTGTCAGCCTTTGTCTCCTACACCCCCTCACATAGCTGGGCAGGGCAAGGCCGTAGTAACTCCAAGCCTGAGGAGAGGGAATTGGCCCTGGGCTAAACATTAACTCTATGGCAAACACTGGGAGCTGGGACCAAGTGGTACTCCCCTCCTTGGGTACAGGAATGGGGGAGGGAAAGTGAGGAATAGCCCAGGAGAAAAACAGATGGATTTTGGTGGAGTATTGGCCTCCCCTAGAAAGAAATCAAAGGCCCTCCAACCAAATCCGGGTAGGGAGGAGCCAGGCGCGGGACAAAGGGACAGTGGAGACAGGGGGAAGTGACTGAGCAAAGAAAAGAAAGATGGTGTAGGTGTGGGTATAATACAGAAAGGTAGAGAGGAGTGGGTGGGAGTGGGTTTCCTCTGGCGAAACGACCACACTGCAGAAAGTTAGGGGTGGCTGTGGGGGGGCAGGGGTCAGGAAAAATCTTCAGTCTAATGGGTAAATAACAGAGGGGAGATGAACAAAGGTAGAGGGGGCAGTCTGTCCCTGGAAAATAACAGCAGGTCAACAAGGTTGTCACTGCAGTTCCCCTTTCAGCACTTCACTATCCCCCAAATATGTGAATGTCATTTCTACAAAGCTTTGTTCTCTTGCTCGCCATCTTACGCCTGCCAGACCTGCTTGGTCATTCCACAGGATGGGCACTGTCCCTTCCTCCCCACCAAAAAGCCAGCATCCCTAACCAGGGGCATCAGACAACTGGGGTGCTAAGTCTCAGGCAGCTGCCAGGGTCTGGGTTCAGAAAAGCTCTGATTTCAGGCATGCTCTTTCCAGGTTGCCATGGAGCTGACTGGCCTCCAGGAGAGAGGTGAGGCAGATGGGGACAGTACACCCGCCCACCTGAGGCACTGGGAAGACCGCTGCGGCTGTTTGCTTCATCTGAGATGCAAGCCCACTGAGCCTAGCAGGGGCCACCTTCAGGGACAGACTGCACCCCTCCAGCCTCCAACTCTGCCCTTGGCCCCCCACTGAAGCTGAAGCCCTGTTCCTGCTTATCCCTCCATCTCATGTCTATTAAGGCTGTGCCTCCCAAGCTGGGGGCCTTGACGAGTAAAACTAGGATGGTCCAGTGAGATTAGATGTAATCAGGCCTGGGAGGGGCTCAGGGCAGTTGTAGATGGCACGGCCTTCAAACCTCGTCTTGACCTGCATGTCCCTGGCTAGAGACCAGAAGCTCTCATGCCTCGGCCTTCCCATGTGTCCCTGGGGTCCAGCCATTTCCCCTCATGAGATCCACTCTTGAGGCCAAGGTGGTTTGCCATCATGGCTAAATAGGTAAAAGTAAAATGCAGAAGAGAGACAGATGAAGAAGGTGGCTGTGGAGTGGGCAGGGGGGTGCAGGGTGGCTTCCTATCAGACCCAGGCTACTCTAACGGGCCTGAGGTGTTCTCACGATGGTCAGCAACCCTGCACTGACTCTCACTGTCCTGAATCTGGCCAGGGCATTTCTAACTGTGCCTAGAGCTGGGGATTGCAAAGCCTTTACCTATTAGAAGGACTTCCAGTGCAACGATAGGGCCTCAGGCAGCAGAACAGCTACAGCAAGCACTACCCCAGGTGTCAGGAGAGAGATTATAAAGAGGGCTGTCAGCAGTGCTGAGAAGGGGAGATGGGGTGTCCTTCCCAAGGGCCAGAGTCCAACCAGCTCAGGCAACACAGAGACAGTTAGGAGGAGAGTGGATGTAATCAGGCCTGGGAGGGACTCAGGGCAGCTGTAGGGAACTGACTAAGAGAAAACAGAGCAGACTAAGGGAAAACAGAGAACCAGGTCAAAGCCACAGGAGCAGGGCAAGGGCTTCCTGAAAAACCAGGAATGGACTATTGGGGGGCAGTTCTGCAGATCTGGGGGGGAAGTTGAACTGAAGTTTCCTGATGAGCCCTTGGCACACAAGAACATAGACACATACACAATGCACTGCATGAAAATGTTGTCTATCCACCCAAGGGCTCATGCACTGGGAGGATAGGGGCACCTCATGCTCATGTGCACTGATCCAGGTGGCTCCGGTGACCAGGTGGCCCAGTCCAGAGCTTCCTGATCAAACCCGGGCAGTTGTGTCTAGGGGAACAGCCATGCTCAGGCCCGTGCCCATGGAAAAGCACACTGGTGCCGTCAGAGTGGGCAAATATGGGGGTGACGCTTACTGTGTGGAACACACCCCCCGAATCAGACAAGCCCAGGGCATTGGTCTCAGCTTTAGGAAGAGAGCAGGATTTTAATTGGCGGAGAGAAATCCCAGTGTTACTTGAAGCAGGACTCTGCAGGGCTCTGCCTTCGATGGCAGCTGCTCAGCACCCTCCGGATGTGAAAACACATGAAGATAAAATGGAAAGATAAACCAGACATAGCTCCTCATATCTGTAGCTCAGGCCGGCTGGAGATCCCTTGTCACCTCTCAGCTTCCCACCTGCCCTTCTTTCCCAGTGTCTGCCTGTCATTTCTATCTGCCTCCTCCACGTCGTTCTGTTCTGCTCCCTGTCCCAAAATGAGTTAGACCATCCACAGAACCAGGAAAAGGGCAGCACTGGGCCATGGAGGGCAGACACAGGAGCCACGTCTACCTGGTGACCTTAAATCGGGGAACAGAGGAAGAGGGAGCAGCAGGAAGACATTTGTAGGCGGGTCGCAGGACATCTGGTACCGCTGAGTTTCTGGAAGGACCCTGCAGTGTGACAGCAGGAGTCCAAGAGAATGGCAGTCAGGAGGGAATCACTAAACGCTGCTCAGCAGAGTCTCCTGTGCACTTGGCTTCTGTGAGTTAATTATCTGGGCTCGGTAGAGAGTCAATAATGCTTCTGTAATTCATTCAGGGTGAGAGGTGGAGGGTGAAAGGAGACAACTGGGATTAACAGAGGGTGAGAGGCAGCAAAGACCTGGGAAATGAGTATTCTGGAGGACGGTTTTATAAGGAGATTTGCAGTCAGCGAGGGCCGAGTGCCTCTGCATGTCTCCAGCTACAGGTGGAATCAGTCAGCAAGCAAGTCTTTGGCCGTGCCTGGCTCCTCTGTGATCTCTTGCTTATCTGTCATCGAGACCCCTGACTTCTGTGTCCACATATGGCAGCTGGCCCTTTCAGCCAAGAGGCAGGATCTATTTCTAGTTGTGCCTCCACTCAGGTAGACATTGGGAGGAAGAGTGCTCAGATGCCAGCTTTTATGTGTGGGGCTGAGGGAGAAGAAATCCGAGGTGCAAGGATGGCAGAAAGACAGAAGAGAGGAAGTAAAACCTGCGAGAATCAGACAGAGAGAGCCAGCCGGGAGACGTGAAATCAGGGAAAGCGGAGGTAAAACGGGGTGTAGAAAAGGAAAATGAGATAGGTGTGTGGGGCTGGGGGTGGTGGTGGTCAAGAAAAAGAAAAGTGAGGTGAAACAGAAAAGCCTGAGGGAAAGAACAAAGAAAAGAGAGGAGAGGGTGGAGCCTAGCAACAGGGTGAGGACTTGCAAGTGTCCATTTGGATGTTTCCATTGTCTGCTGGGTCTGCAGCGCATGTTTCCAGCTCCCCTTTGGGGGCACCAAATTTGCAATACGGCTCAGAAAGGTGGAAGGTTTCATTAGGCGAAGGATGCTGGAGTCCCCACACAGCTCCTTGGAGAGCACCCCCCATTCTCCTACTTCTCCTCCCACACAGAAGGAGCTTCTCTCTCCTTCCAGGATGTGAGCTCTTAGCAGCAGGTAGGCTGCAAGGCCAGGTGGGTCCAAGGGGGAGGGCTGAGAATGAAGGTGTGGTGTCTGCCTTCTCTCCAATGCAGGCCACCTCAGCCCTCAGCTCCCCGCCAACAGCACAGTCCAATGAGCCCCACCCTGTTTGTGCCAGGTGGGGCTAATCCTGGCAGATCAGTCAGTCCATGAAGCCAGCCTACACACAGGCAGGCTTGCTGAGCAGGTCAGAAGCTACAGGGCTCAGTGACATGTACTTGATTTGGGGAATCGCTGAGCTGTGTGGGCAAACACCCCCCCCCCCACACACACACACGTGATTCTGGCCCAAGTCCCTCCATTAAACCCAAGCCTCTGCCCTATCCCCTTCCCCAGTGTCCTCAACTTCTGTCATCCACAGTCAGGCCATCTTGTCCCACACTTTCTCCATGCCCATGTAACCTGCTAAAATGGAGCCTGGGATTAGAGAATGGGGAAAGGTGGCATCCATGTGATCAATCAGGATCAAGTGTGGGGAACAGCAGGCTCAGAGCAAAACAGATAATGACCTGAGCCAGGCCATGGTTGCAAACTGCCAGCTCCTCTATTGTGCAGTCCCAGAGGGTAGGCACAACCTGACAGGGGTCAACTAAGAGACTTCAGCCAGCTGCTCCTCATTGGAAAAGTTCAAAATCCTGTGGCCCAGTCTATGTGACCATGAGGATGTGGCCTTTGTAAGGACTACCGCTCCACAATGCACTTTCTGGGTATGCAGCAGCTGGCTGAACCACCCCAATGGACGACCCCAGGCTACACCTTCACCACAGACCCAAGCACAGTGGATATTTTCTAGAAGGGCCATGCCCTTGGGGCTATTGAGGTATATACCTGGGGTGGGGTTGGGGTGTGAGTCAAATTCCATTATATGAGACATCTGTATACTACTGAGGGCAAGTATTCTGGCTGCATTTCCCCCCACATGTCTTGGTTCTGGGAAGGAAATTGCAGCCCTCAGTTCAGGCCCAGGGCTGCCTCAGTCCCAGAATTCTGTCTGGTCTTGGGACACCTTCCTGACTGGTCACCTCTACTAAGTCTAGGGGAGCCTCGCCCAAGAGTCTAGGGAAGAATAAGGTACACAACTCTCCTTGGTCTCCCTGAATCCAACCCTCCCTTATCAGGAGTCCTGCTGTGCTACAGAAGATCACTACCATATCTGGTTTTTGATGGGGGATGGGGCTGATCAGGGGACAAGCCCACCCTTCGAGGTCCCTCAATTTGCTTCAGACCATGGGCAGCCTGACTGCTCTCCATACTACTTCATTCCCTCGACCAGGTCCATGTCCACACCCCTCCCACTCCACGTACCAATAAGAAGGGAAACAGGGATACTTACATTATACCAGCTCTGGCTTTTCTGAAAGGACAAAATAAAAGAGAAGGTGAAATTAGTCAGGGAAGAGATGGTGGCATGGCCAGGGTATTCCTGGCTCCAGAGGGAAGGTTACACAGACAGCAAAGGGCGGGCAGGGGAGAGGAATCGAAATGCAGCTGAATGCTTCCCACGTGGCCGTTCGGGAGGGGCCTTCTTTTCTCAAGACATGTCCAGAAGGAAGGCCCGGGGAGCAGTCCATGCTGGAAGCTCTGCCGCGTTGGGGTGGCAGGCAGTGGCGGCACCAGCTAGAGCTCAACGGCAAGGGAGTCGGAGCCCCATCATAAGGTTCTTCTGATGGGGGAAGGGATGCACAGCAGACATCCAAGACCCAGTCCCCAATGGGCCCTGACCAGAAGCAAAGTGCAGATAGAGACCAACCCTTGGAGCCTTCTGCTCCAAGTCAGCTCCTCTGTAGAAGGCAGCATGGGACGCTTTGGTGTCAAGGAGGAAAAGGGGCTGCCTAGAAACTTCTTCCGACTGTGTTCTCAGTGAGCAGATAAGTCAGTTCCTCCTCCTGCTCAACAACCTGACTGATGGCCTCCTCGGTGATATTGGCAGGGGAGGGGTTGGGGGTTCAGCACTGGGAGGAAAGTTGAAGCACATAATTGCTAAAGGTGCCATAAATCAATACCAACAAAAGCAGACTCCACCCCAGCTCCAGAATTCAAGTGCTCTCCATTAGCAGCCCTGGGCAAAGGTTACTCCTCTTCATGGTAAATGAAAGCTTTTTAGGGAAAGAGGAGGGATGGCTAAAATGATGCCTTGTCTGTAGCTCTAATCTCGATGGCCTGGAGTCCTTTATGCTCATCCCACTTGGAAGATAAGCAGATAGGCATTGAGACACACTAATACAGGCACGCCATTGCCTAGGCCTCATCCCTTGAGGTGCTGATCCAATAGGTTTAGATTGGAGCTGGAGTATTTCCAGTTTTGAAAAGCTTGCCAAGGGTGTAATTCAGGCAGAGAATCACTGGGGAGAGGGAAACCCTGCCTGCAGGACAACTTAACTGTACACAGAGCTGTGCGCCCTGGGCACAATGAACAATCTTTATCCCCTTTACCTGGTCTTAGGGGGTCCTGGCTCCTAAGGGAAGAAGAGGGATGCGACTGTCTCAGGATGTCTGCTGCGCAGTGTCTGGTGGCGGGGTTGGAGGACAGGTGAGTGTGTCTGTGGAAAGCGTGGTCATGTGATCTCCCCCTCACCAGCTCTCCCATCCCACTAGAAGAGCTCTATGGAGACCATCAAACTTCACTCCGAAGGGGAAACGTGTAAGCAGAAGGGAACAGGCACGCGTGGTGCTGCCTCGGACTGGTTTTGTTTCATCCTCACACCAGCTCTCACTGGTCAGAAGGGCAGATGGCAAAGCAGGTCCTCAAATGCCCTCTGCAAAATATGCTCTCCAAGGTCATGCCCCCAACAAAGCCTGTCACCATGACCTCATCTCCTCCAATCCACAGGTATTAGTAGGTAAAGGAGCCAAATCCAAACATGCAAAACCAACTATTTCATCATTGAGGAAGCTATTGCCACCTGGGAATCCTGAACCTGGAATTGAAAAATTAGCCTGTAAAAATTCAGGCACTGGGACATTTAATTCCTAGGCCCTAACTCTGAGATCACAGGTCGTGAGGCTGTGCAGATATTCATTAAAGTACATTTCCTAGTGGTGGAAAGACATGTTTTGGGAGCTGCCAGCCTCGATGGCCCCACAGTTTGCCTGCATTTCATCAAACCAAAGCCAGGTCATCGGACGCCTGCTTCACAGCTGATGACACATTCTGTCACTCACCTCTTAGCCCCTCCCCCCTTTGTCCTGACCTTCATGTGAGACCCTAGGAGGAAAGGGGGCAACAAGAATTTGGGCTGGGTGGGGAGACCCAAGATCCTTTATTATTACTCCCGCAGTGCTCTCCCTCTTGCCTCAGCCTAACGGAAGTAGATGTTCTCTTTTTATGTACTGTCATACAGCACACGTCCCTTCCAAATCTGTTTGCAACGAAGAACATCAACGTGACAAAGAACCACAACCAGGGAACCCATGTCCCACCTCTAATTAGCTGTGTGATATCTTTGTGTGGAATATTTTCTCTTTTGTAAAGAGGGGTAAGAATGCATGTTCTCAAGTATGGAAATGTGAAATATACCATCAAGGGCAAGGACTTTTGTCTTGTCCCTCAGCGTGAGACTCTGCCCCTAACCAGCTCTCTCTGAGCAGCTTCTTACGTGCCACCACTGAGGGTGCCACTGGGAAAAGCGGGCACCGACGCCTCCAGCCTAATCCACAGTAGTCCCTGAGACTATCCACTGTGAACACGAATCCCTGAACTCTGACCAGCCTCGTGGAAGCAAATTTGATCCTCGAGGCTGTGCTCTCCCAGGACTTAGTTCTGACATGGAGGCCCCCTGACATGGGGGCAGGGAAGCCAGAGGGCTGTGGGACTCGGAGGGTGAGGGCAGGGGTGTCCACTGGCAGCAGGGCAGCTATCTGCCCTTGTAGGTTCACTGAAATGCCCCTCCTTGGGCCAGAGGTATGGAAAGAACAGAACTCGGGAGTGAGGATGAGGGCTTTTCTGACAGGTTAGAAATGAATTTAGCTAGAAGAGGAGCAGGGAGTCAGGAAAAGGACCCAAAGACAGAACTGTTGGGGATGGGGAGCTGAGCAGAACATGTTTCTATTGCCTCCTAGAAGAGGTCTGAAAAGCAAGTGCCTAAGGGAATGCAAGGCCCCTGGAAACAGACTCAAGTTCCCTAAAAACATCTCCCCAGCACAAAGGCTCTGGGAGTCTGGAAGACGGGGGCGGTGAAGGGACAAAGGCAGGGATGAGAGGAACTCTACATTTAATAGAAGTTAGGAGAAAAAACAACTTCTTACTTTGATCAGGTTAAGTCTGTCATACTGAAAAGAAAACCACAAAAATTAGGATTGAAAAACAGGGGAAAAGTCAAAGGGAAAAGGAGCCCAGAGACACAGAGCCAGGGTGATGCAGTGCACCCAGTGCAGGGAGGACTTGCTTGGGCTCATGGGCACCTCCCCTGCTGCTGTCCTCGATCAGGAAGCGGCCACTGGCTCCCTCTAGTGGCCCCAAGTCAGCACTACACAGCAGAAGCTGGGTGGTAGCACAAACTCAAAGGGTCCTGGGAAGTGGAAATAAAACTGCTCTGGTCAGGGCTGCACGTAGGAAAAGTCGGTCTCAGCAGTATAGATACAGGTTCACAGGAGGGGGACATGACTGATCACCTAGTCCAGCCCCTACATATTAACACATGAGGAAATGCAGGCCTGGCTGGGATAACAGTGACAGCAACTCTAGCTGTCAGATCCTCTGCCGTGGAAACATTTGGTCAACCTGTGACAATGTTACACCAGGGGAGGTGGTCTCCCCACTACATGAACACACTCTCCTCTTTCCCTCACCTCTGCAGCTTTTCCTCACTTTCTGCTTCAGGCCCTGATCCATGTAGAACCGAATTCCTATATAATTCTCATGTGTCTTTTCTAAAGTCTGTGTGTCCCACACATGCATTTCCCAGCTGGACCACAGTTGCTACCACTTCTACCTGGGGTGGTAGGGTATCCCTCTCCCACAAATCAGTCCTATTTTAACTTCATTTAGAGGATAGGATGGTGGTGTTGGTGGCAATGGTCATGACTGGTGAGGGAATGGGGTGGGTGGCTCCCCAAAGCCAGGGAACTCAGAGTACGTGTCTACTGGGGAAAGGTACTACCACACACAAGTTCTTCAAAGGGGAAGAAAACCTAGAGTCCCTCAGTCGCCTCTCTCTTTAGCTTCTTAAGAAAGCGGCCAAGATTAATGCTCAGTTCACTCTCAGTTTATGGTCCCTTTCGAATGACTCATTTTGCCTCTTCAAAATCTCAGGGTTCCAGCCTGACTCAGGGCACCTGC